CTATCCTTTGATCTGATTGGCCAACATCGAAACGAAAGTTTTCACGTCACGGAAATCGTTTCGCCGCGCGGGTTCGCAGATGCTATTTTTCGGAGGGAGAGAAGCGACGACCGGAAATCCGTCTGCTGTTCGCAGGCTATCGATTCAGTCAATTGCTGAAGTTCTTCAGGAAGATAATTTTGTTATCTTATCCCGGAGATAGTGGTTGATCGGAAGGACTTTTCGGATGAAAGTTCACTTTTAGGAAATATTATGTGTTATGTTTTCTCTCTCCACCAACACTACATTGAAACTCCTTACAAAATGAACCAAACTTTCAAATGAATATCTAAAAAAAAAATAATAATGACCTGATAGTGGACACTGTCAGGTCAGATGATGTAAAAGTACTCAAATCGAGCTGAAACGTCGTATAAAAAAAGAAAACGATACCTGGTAACAATATTGACACTTTAATGATAAATGTTACCGCTTTTAGTTAATTTATTTCATTTCTAAGTTTCATTTCCAATACAAACTCTTTATTTCCCATGCAAACTCTCATATTACGCTTGGGTCACCTAAGCACAATCAACATTTTATGCTACTACCACATTTCTTTGCTTTCTTCTTCTTTCTCCTCCACTATCAGCTCTATAATTATATTAATTTTCATTTCTGGCCCCTTCTCCAGCAACACTACAGTTAATTTCTATGGGAAACAAGTTTGGCGAGATCCCATCGCAAAACAGGTTTAATTTATAGCTACTATACCGCTATCTGTCAAGTACTTTAACACAAGGCCCACATTTTGAGATATGTCCAGGTTTGCACGCAATTGCAAAAATTGTGAAAAATTGGAGAAATCGCAGTTTTTGCTAAAATTACTAAATTCAAGTGTTCAAGGAGGTAAAAGGGTACCCTGCAAAAATTGCGATTTCTCCAAAAATTAAGAAAAATTGGAAAAATCGCAGTTTTTGCTAAAAATACTAAATGTAAGTGTTTAAGGGGGTAAATCGTCGGACGCGATTTTTTGCAATTTTCGCAAATTTTGTTAAATTGACCACTGGCTCTGGACTTGTGTAATTATTAACACGACAAAGAACCCTGAAAAATCGCAACTACCGGGAAAAATCGTTAGGCTTGCGATTTTTCGCAATTTCCGCAAATTTTGTTCAATCGACAACTGGCTCTGGACTGAAGTAATTAATTAACATGACAAAGAGAGTTGCGAAAAATCGCAACTAACGCAAAAAAAATTGGAATTTTTGCTACTGCGCAAAGCTGGACACAAGTGTACATTTTGGTCTTTGCTAGAAAATTCGTTTTTTGCTAAAACTGTGCATTATTCTTATTTTTTTTGTCGTTTTTTGAAAGGAGGAATTTAACTAGTCAACCTTTAAGAAATGGTAAACGTGCAGCGTGCAACCATGGAGTTATGGATGCACGCGGGAGGTTGCTAAGCACGAAAGAAGCGTAAGAGTCGCACGAGGCGATAGCTGAGTGCGACTCTAGCTTCTTGAGTGCTTAGCAAACCTCCCAAGTGCATCCATAACTCCATGGTTGCACAGCTGCAACGTTTACCATTTCTTTTATAACATAATCAAAAGAGAAAAACATTATTTTCCATTTGCCTTCGGTTGAGTCATTGGTCCGAGTTCATGTATGCTGCCATCTTCCCGCGCGTAAGCAAATCATGTTCTATGTTTTTCAAAAACTTGCCTTTGAGTATCTCTTTCGCTGAATCAACCTTTCTCCATCTTCAGGTAAATTTCAGAACGTTTTTTTTTGTTATTCTGAATGGCATCTGTCTACTTGCTCTTAATATTAGAGTAAAAACTTTGATGGAAAACTATAGCTGCAACTATAAACACCTACTATAAAGACTCTGAAAAATAAGCTAAAAGTAAATAAATGAAATAATTATCAAGCTTATTTATGTGACAATTTCTGAAATAAACGTAAAGTAGAAATGAGAAAATTTGACTGTAATTCCTTTAGAATAACAGGTAACACTAATTTTAAAAAGAAATTAACTAGCTTTGTATCGAAATCTGTCTGGGGAAATCCAGCTATGAAAGTCAAAGATGCAACTGAAATTCGTCGACACACAGCCGGCGCTGACGCTGTTGTTTTTCGACTCTTCCCTTAACGACTGTTATGAATGAACACTGAGGAACAAAATAATACACACAGAAGTTATTTTTTGAAAAATTTATTTGAAAACCCAAATGTTTCTGTACTCAAATGAAACTCGCTTATTCCAGCGTAATATGCCCGTTTAAACTCAACTAAAATTTTTAATCGATGCGATGAAAACTTCACAACAAAGCTGTCTCGAATTTGAGCGTGTTTCCTAAAATATTTGCTTGAATTTAGCATCAGCTTGACCAAAAAGTCAATAACACAATGCTATTTGATAAATTTACATTTCAAACAGCCTTTCTCTTCTATAAAAAAACACACAAAATGTACCTTAAATCTTCGCTCGCTCGATTTTCCTTCAGCCGATTCTAGCCTCGAGGAAAACAGTCACTGTGATTAATTCATCCAGGGCAAATTTGTCGCTTGATCTTTTGTCTTTTTTCCTTCAAAACGACAGCTTAGTATTTTCTTCAACTTCCACTCTTCATCTGTGCATTTCATCGGTGTATTTTAACGTCAGGAGAAGAGACTTGTTGAATTTGCCTAAATTTAACCGCGCTAGCTCAGTTTCTTGGCGTGCACCCACGGGCAAATGGTAGTGGCTAACTGACCAATCAGAGCGCGCGATTTACTTTTGTTATGTTATAATGCATTTTGGTGTTTATTCCTCTTTAAAGGTGAATAGAGCATTCCTAGGTGACAAGACGTTTGAAAGCTCGGATGTAATAGAATTTAGGTACGGGATGAGTTGAGACTTCATGTTAGCCTGCGAGCAAGCTTTCTGCGGCGATCTGGCGGTGGGGCGGAAAAAGGAAGGAGAGCTTGCAACTACGTCTCTGGAATTTGACCATCTCCAAAACCCCTGTGGCTCCGCGTCGACTGAGCCGTCAGATTTCCGCCAATCAGCGCGAAGCAAAAACGAGCGCGAATGTAAACAAACATGGAGAAACACGAGCCAAGGGTAATGACGTCATTACTAATATCATATCCGCCAATCAGCATTTCGAATCGATTCTTTTCGATGCAGATATTCAAATTCCAGAGACAAAGTTGCAAGCTCTTTTTTCTTTTCCCGCCCCGCAGAGCTTGCTCATGTAGCCGTTGAAGCCTTACGTACATGATGAAACCAAGGATTTCCTCTTCCTGTGTACGTACAACAAAGTCGTTTGTTGTTGTTTTTGTTGTTGTTTTGCAGCCGCGGAGGTCTACAAGTTTTAGTAGAATTGACTTTCAAAGAAGCTGTCAGCACAGAATATGCCATCGCAGCATTGAAAAAAGCGGCAGAAAGTAAAACTCTTGCAACCTTTCAAATAAAAAGTTCGTCTATAATAACAACAAGGGAGAATAACTTTATAGAAACCACAGAAACTACCGCTGGAACGAGTTCAATGTCAACAGGTATATAAACATTTTATCTTAAGTACCAGCATTGTAGAACAGTGTAACAATGAAATTGTTCTTTAAATTACTTTTTCTTATCAATTTTAAGCTAAAATTTAAAAGTAGCTTAAGCCAAATTAGTTTTCACAATACCAAATATTGGGCTCGAGATAAGTGAAGCAGGCGTCTCACTCAGAAAAAGGAGACAGAATCAGAATACAAATTAGTAGTTTCTCTTTATTACATGCCTTCTTAAGAACAGCACCCTTTCAGAATTCACGACAGCCTTGTTTATTAAAATGGCGATCACATTCACGATTTAAGAGTAAAGAAACCATGTAAATTCTTGCAGTTGAGGTCTGCAGTGGCTGCGAATGTAACAGCACCATATTAAAAGCCTCGATCGGTGTTCTTGCTGTGGTTATCAGCGTCCTCATTTTGCACATCATTTGGCTGCACATCAAAGGTAAGCAACATTTGTAGTTACGTTTCCTCAATTGTCCCTCAGAAGCATAACCAAGGTTTTTCCAGAGCTAAGTAGAGTTTATTAAATCGTTTCCATGTAGTTTCAGTATAACGTTCAGGCGATCATCTTTCCTATTGTATGACGCGTTCTGCACGCACCAATTACGATTTTCGTGAAATTTCGTGTGGCTAAGTCGGGGGAAAACACTAACGTTTGTTCAGAAGAACTATTTGACAGCGGTTAAAGCAGAGTAAAAGATCAAGAGCCGTTTCCTTTATCTTAATCAATTTCATACATCTTTTTTGTTGAATACTTCTTTGTGGTGTCATTTTCTTTCCCCTTTCTAATTGATCTTGGAATTTTTGAACTTGTCCAGGAACGTACGTGAGTATTGGCGTACAGGTAGCTCTTTGTGCGCATATTAACATCGATGTAACACCGATTTGAAGTTTTCACTTTTTTCCAGGAATTCGAATGACAAGGTCATATAAAGAGGCTATAGCTAAAAAAGGGAGCAACGATGTATGCTATAAGCTTTCTGTTCTAATTTTGCGTACATGTTTCGTATATGTTACTTTGTAGTCTAATTCCTGCAATTCCAATACAATAAGCCAAGAAAATTGGAGTGATTACTTTCTAAGAGTTTCTTTGTTTTCTTTCAGAATGGAATGGAAATGTTAGATTGCTACTCAGGTCACAATGCTTCGGAAGAAAAGAAATCTCACGCTCCTTCTTCAGTGGAATATGTTAATACACCGCTGGATTTAAATACAGGAAGCCGATCAAAAGACTTAGCAGAAAACCAGACGACCAACACAATAAGCCAGTATGTAACTTGGTGTCCATCAACGTTTTCATGTGAGATTCCTCGCGAAAATGTGGTGATTGAGAAGATAATTGGCAAAGGTGCTTTTGGCCAGGTTGCCAAAGGAACAGTCATAGGCCTACGTGGAAGAACCCAGGCGACACTTGTGGCCGTGAAAATGTTAAAAGGTGGGATTTATTGGTTGTGACTAGAATGGATACCTTAAAATCAGGTTGGACACCTTATGTTTATTACACAACGCTATACTCTATCCTGCGCTATACTATATTTATTCGAATTTATTGGGGACATTTTTTAGAAAAGTGGTAAAATCAGAGTAGGAGACTCCTGTGCAAGGAAAAGGGTTGAATACAGCGTTTAGCACCGAAGTACAGTGATTAGGGGTCAGTACTGTTTTAAAAATGGTTAGCTTTCAATGACGGTTTGATCAATGCCATGTAAAGTACGTTAAAATTAACCGGTGTCTGCAGTTAGGCGTTGATGGTGTAGTGGACACGGATGTGGAATGTACACTCGGGTCCAAGTCCTACATACTACGTACTGTTTTCTTTCTTCTCTTATTTACTTCCTTAAGTTATAAGAATCCTACCAAGTATTTTGAGTGAAGATGACAATCTGACTTTGGGGTTTCCTTTCTAGTCACAGCCGTGATGTATTTTCTTGTAATCTTCACAAATTGGTATGTACAAACGTTATGTGCGGAGCGTCCGAGCGTGCACAGCGTGCGCAGCGGAACCTCCATTGCTATAGCAATTGGAAACCCATCGATGTGATATAAATATATACAAGAAAATTTGTTAATGACGTCAACTCCGCCCATCCACCCGCCCGCCGGTACAGACTATGTAAGTTAGGGAAGGGGAGACTCTAGTAAGAAGGGAAGGGGAGGCCTTGCGTTTGCATTGGCGTGTAGAATTAACCAGTTTAAAGTCAACAAGTTGATCTACCCTAGTAAATTAAACGGGAACGATTTACAACGGGTTTCTTATTACATACCTCAAAATCCGCCTGTCTTTCAGCGAACGCGCCCGAGTCGGACAGGAAGGACTTGTTATCAGAGCTTGAAGTGATGAAGACATTGAACCCTCATCCACACGTCATCAAACTTCTGGGATGCATCACTGAATCTGGTAAATTATCCAAAATATACTGATTGGCACTTCATTTTACTGGTCTGTACCTTCATTATGGTATCAAAAGTGGATCAACTGTTTCGGTCTTTGATAAGTTTTTTCTATTAAATTCAGCAATGGTCTTGGTGTTCTTAAGTCCGACCCAAATAAATACTGATAGTTTTTTGCATGTTTTGAATCACTTACTTTATGAAATATGGACTTTCCAGGCCATTCCCTTTGGGCTGTACATTACTTCTCTCTGAGAAAGAAACACTTATATTTCATTTTACTAAGAACCCATGTTGGTATTGATCGAATATGTGCCATATGGAGATCTCCTTGGTTACCTGAGAAAGAGCCGTGGACTCAATGACACTTATTACAACGATCCAGACATCAAACCACGAACAAGTCTGATGCCACAGCAGCTGATGAAATTTGCTTGGCAAATAGCTGATGGAATGAGTTACTTGTCAAAGAGATCTGTAAGTTAGATTCCTTAATAATTGCCATAGTATAACGCTGTTTCTTTCCTTCTGAAGTACGTAAAAGTGATTTAAGGGGTGGCCTAGCGTTCTAAAAGTCGTCACCGGCTTTAAATGAAACTCCCATTTCCTTTAAATAAAAAGAAAGACTTCATGAACAAACTGCCAAGCCTAAGAGCGAAGCTACTTCTCGGAAAACTAACTGTTTACTTTAAACTATTTTTTAGACCGAGACGAAGTTACGCACGCAGTGGGCTTCCTAAAGCCTGGTTTTCACTAGCGCATAAGCATAAGCACAAGAAAAATGGACAAGGTTCGTTCTTCTTGTGCTTGTGCTTATGATTATATCGTAACTTTGACTAGTAAAAACGGAGTCGACATAAGCACCAGCATAAACACAAGGACGTGGACCAATGATAGGCCACTTTGACCCAGACCTTATGCGAACATATCAAAAGCAATATGGCGGACGAAGCGTCCACCATCTTGTTGTATTGTTGAGATGAGCTGTCGTCAAATATGCCATTCTGCGCGTGTGTTTGTCCTCATGCTCATGCTTATGTGCTAGTGAAAACCAGGCATAAAGAATAACATTCCAAACAGTTTAAAGCACCATAATGATCGACCGAAAAGAGTGTAGATTAACTAGTACAATCACCCGCACCTCGTAAAAAAACTAAATACAGTGTGTTCTTCTATAGATTATTCATCGTGACCTTGCCGCTCGTAATGTTCTGGTGGGACAAAATGAAACTTGTAAAGTGACAGACTTTGGAATGGCCCGGGATGTCCTGGAAGAAAATATTTATGAAAGAAAGACAAAGGTAATGACAGCAGACAATGAAATGAATAAAAGTTTAATTAGAGGTGCGTAAGAACGAGCAACAGAAAAAGTGCAACTTGTCTTGCAACATTGCTGAAGAACAAGTTGAATAGCGATGTTGCGCGTTTTACCACCCACATCAAACCTTTCTTGCAACAAATCAGGTTAAGTTGTGAACAGATTTGCTGAGGGTGGTAAAACGCCCAATATCGCTATTCAACTTGTTCTGCAGCAATGTTGCAAGACAGGTTGCACGTTTTTTGTTGCCCGTTTTACGTACCTTAAGACGTTAATATTTCAATGGATTATGACGTGTTATCCGGTAGTTTGTAGGAAAACACAAAATGCTGCACGTGGCTATTGGTTCTGATTCATTCTAGGGCCGTTTGCCAGTGAAATGGACCGCATATGAAGCGCTATTGTATGGAAAATATACCGCAAAGAGCGACGTGTGAGTACGCAGACATGGAGGTTGTTAAATAAGCCTTTTGCAATAGTTAATTACGTGATCAACTTTCTGTATGCATGAAACTGATTCGCTATGGAGAAAATAATAATGTAAGTTGGAACTAAATGAGATTATCAAAATTAGGTGACTTGTAAATTTCCTGACGTAGACTTCAAAAGTAGTTATTGCAGCGGCGGCGATAATTAGAACGATTTGAATGCTTGGGAAAAACAACTTGCTACCCTGTCACGGGGTTTAAATTTTCTGTTATGAACAGAAGAACATTTTGCTTCCATAATGCGTAATTGGAATATTTTATAACAGCTTGAAAATTTGGAAAACCAATCAACTGTGTGTCAGTGGCAAGAGTTGTCTTTTTCCGTACAAATCCTCCTTAGTTTCGGCGGGGTGTGCTGTCGCTGTTATTGAGGTACACGGCTGAAAATTGACATGTTACCGAATTCTAATTTGCTCTTTCAGTTCCTGCTAACATTATTTCTCCAAAGCTAACTGTTTAAATTTTTACCGAAATTTGATCATGTGACCAACAAGTGCAAAACACCCGTTGAATCAGGAAGGATTAAAGATAAACATACAAGAAATGAAAACAAATAGTAGAACAAATAGTGGAGATCAGAAACATATTGATAATGACTTTATCTGTAACTGATTTTCTGAATTTTTACATTAAAAGGAATAGTTGCATGTATACACTCGAGACACTGAGATGTTACATAAGCAACAGAGAAATGATACAAATTTGTAGACAAAGCTTATTAATAAGTAGTTTCTTAGAAATCGATTTTGAGATAAAAATTAGTTGATCTTCCTACTCAGGTCAGCCAGCTGTTTACGTACTACGTTTGCTGATTTCTAGTCTTTGAAGGGCAACACGATTCTGATTGGGGCTTCTCTTTTATCAGCCACTTGGGTGTGTGAATCCTCGGACACTTTGGATTCAATGAATGGTTGACTGCACAAGGTCGTCTGGATAGCGCAGTCGGGAGAAGACCAGAAATCAGCAAACGTAGTACGTAAACAGCTGGCTGACCTGAGTAGGAAGATCAACGCAGACATCAGCCCAGTTTACACAAGTAGGAAGATCAAAGATGAAATTAAGGTCAAGGAAGACAAGCTGCCTCTTGTGAGTCAACAATGCGTGGTGTATTCTTTCCAGTGTAGCCTGTGTGATGCAGGCTATGTCGGCTACACGTGCCGACACCTACACCAACGAATTGAAGAACACAAACGATCGGCAATCGGAAACCACCTCAGAGAGCAGCATGATATGGAGCATGAAGACATCGCACAAAGTTTTAGAATCTTAAGAAAGTGTCAGAACAAATTTGACCGCCTTATTTTTGAAATGTTTTTATCCAAGAACTGAAACCGACGCTTAACAAACAGTGCGATTCAATTCGCGCCAAATTATTTGTTTAGAGTAGTTATTGTTAACATTGTTTTATTTCCATTGTTTTTTGACTTAATAAATATTTTTAGCACCTGTTACATTTTTACATATTTTATCACATTTTAGCGTTCACCACATTTTTATCTATTATAACTTGTTTTTAACTTATTTATGCTAATTTAGAGAACTTTTATACACTTGAAAATGACCTCGGAGAGGTCGAAACGTCGTGATTTTTTATCTCTAATATTTATCTCAAAAGCTTATTAATAAGGAAATAAAAACAGAAACTGAAACGTAAGTGTAACTTTTGATTTTTGAATTGTTCTATTTTTAAATTAAATCCTCATGCTCATCAATGTTTCATGAAGGGGAAACAAAGGAAATTTACTGAGGTTTAGTAATCAGATATTTGAATAAAATGTTGCGAATTTTAACCTTGAAATTCTTCAAGAAGTAATTATTCTTTTGAGAAGTCGTAAACATTCATTTAAGTCCAGTATCCAGTCATTTAGAGGTTGGCTGCGTTTCGTTTTTCAATCCACTTTAATTGTTTAATACAGACCCTTACAATATTACACCTTCTTTTCATTACAGATGGAGCTATGGGGTCCTGCTTTACGAAGTTTTCACAATTGGTAAGACGAATATGAAAGACATTACAATTTTACATTGCACAATGCAACAAATACAAGACATAATGCACGCACAGGGGTTTTGTTTTAGTATAAATATTATGTACAAATTAAGTTGCAAGAAGAGTGGTCTACATCATATTTGCACCAACAAACTAAAAGTGCGGCTACTCAGACCATGGTACTTGGAATATCACTTTGGATCAAAATTGACCAATCACAAAAGAGGGCAATTATCAGTGAAAATTCAGAGTTGGATTTTTGAATACTTGGATGTAATTGGTCAGTTTTCTAACTAAAGCACGTACGTTAGGGCATGGTCCACCCTTTGATCATAGACCCTCAACGAAGAAGACTACTTTTGCTGGTAGAAGCGATGTTGTCGATGTTCTTTTAGTCTTCACGAGTAGAAGTATTTGGTCATCCTTAAACCATATAATAACAGCGGCCACGCGAGCTATCTTTGGGAATTAATTTTCAACGGTAAATGTAGTCGTCATGACTAATGACATTCTAGTCTTGAGATTTATAAATAAGATCTTTTTTTTAGGTGGTTCCCCATATCCAAGGGTGAATGGCAGGAAAATAGCAAGTCTGCTTCAAAAAGGATACAGGATGCCTAAACCAAAACATTTGGACCATGAACTGTAAGTTTTTAAACAACCTTTTAAGTAAAACATTAGTAATAAACAACCTACTTTCACACTTATCTCTTCCCGACTAATGAGTCAAAATGACATTATAGTCATTTACCATCCACTTGCGCCTTAAAAACCACCAATAGCAAATGAACACATATAACAATTTTGAGACGTGTTTTTACAGATACGGAATAATGACAAAGTGCTGGAAAGAAAAGCCTGATGAAAGACCAACGTTTTCTGAACTGAGAGAAACATTGAAAGAAATGGAAAACCAGCATAAGGTATAATGCTTGAGGATAAAATAACCCCTGTTTTGGAGAAGGATGTAACTTTTTGGACAGCTGCTCACCTACCCCTCCCCTCACCGTACGTTTTACCCGGAGTAAGAAGATTTCACTTAAGGGCTATTTTGTTTCCGTTAGTTTGCTAATAGATTGCTTTGGTTTTACTAATAAAGCAAGTTTTTGGAAGAAGACGTTTTAAACTTTTGGTACTATGTTTATTCATTTATTCCAGTTACTGATTTACTTATTTATTCTTCACAGAGGTTGATTAACATGAAAATGTACGACAGTCAGCTGTATGCAAACGTTGAAGAATTGGTCGAGTAAGCTATAGTTAGCAACTGGAGTTTGATAGTCAATTGCAAAAAACACTTATTTTTAAAGTAGAGTAGGTTTTCGATTTTCTCTTATAAGAATATCATATTTGCATTTTGTATTGCACTTTGTATTAACGGAAAAAGATTTTACAAAAGATTAGCAGCAGATGGCAGACATACTCTAAATTGGTGCAGTAAATTCCAGAATTTTAAGGCCTGGGTCAAAGGTGTGTTCGGAGCATATGAATGATCGGCAGTACCTCTCAGTATAGGAGAACAAAATGAATTTTTCCCCAAAAGTAAATCTTTAAAAGTTTTCTCTTGCCCTAACGTTTTCTTATGGTCACGTGACCAAAAATTGAAATTGGTGAATTGGTGGCGAATTTACTTTGTTTGGCTAAACAAATTAGTTCTTGAAAGAGGATAAACATACCTTACTTTCTACGTTTAGGATGAATGCATGCGAATTTTAAAATTAAAGTTTTAAATAATTCCAGATTAAATTTGGGTGTTTAAAATGCTGTTTACCCTCATAATTTTTTATTGAAGTGCAATGGACGGTCATTCCAAACGCGAAGTGTTATAAATATTTAATATGAATTAGAAAAATGTTATTGCTCCATTTCTTTTCTTAAACCGGCCACCAATTGGTCAATGATTTACGATTTTTAGCAAAAAGGTCAAATGACATATCATAGAACTTATTAAAAGAATATTTATACATTAAGAAGTTAAGGACGATGAGTTCTTTATGTATGCCAAATTTTAATTGAGCGCCATCATCTATACTGAAGTTATAGCCAATAATTCCTTTTCTACGGGTAAACCCCTTAGTCCCAGGCCTTAAACTACTTAAGGCCTATTTACATGGAGGTTGCAATTGGAGACCCCAGGTACGTGAGGTAGCCCGCTTGTCCACACAATCGCTCAATTTAATTTGATCACGTTTACATGTTTGGTGGGGTGTGCCACAACGTTACCTCGCCTATCTGAAGTCCCCCACCCCCATGTAAACAGACAAGGAGGGCTCGTTAATTGTTTTCCTGGCAATAGTCACTTTGTTCATGATTGCGATGTTTTGATGGCGTAAGGTTGGTCTTCACTAATCAGACGATGGTGTCAGTTTGCTGAGCGCGATTGTTACTAGAACTGTCCTTGCTTGTAGTTTATGTTAACCATAGGACTCCACCCTATCAATAGAGATGGTGGAATTGACATGCTAACGAAACTTAGGTCGAGATCCACCAGCTAAGAATGAGGTTCCTAATGTACCGTCTCCGGTCCTATTACTAATATCCGGCCCACGTTGACAATCAAAAAAACATTGCCTGCTGAATGATATCTTTGATAAATGTTTCCTTAATTTGTAAGGTTAAATAGTGGGCAAGTTAATCAAATAAAATTAAAGCTGGAAACTGACGTACACAGCAGCCTAGTCCACATTCCATGTTACAATTTGTACTTGAACGTTTGCTACTAGTCGCTTATGTAACCTACTCTCTCAAACTAACAATATAGCGAGGTCTTTGACCTTTGCGGACATCGTTAATATCGATACCTCGTTGGTATTCGCCGTACAAAAGCTCACGGGGCGGAGCAGGACTACGCAATCGATTAAGAGAACCCTACTGCTGTAGGTTAGGATTCGCCAGGTTCTTTCCTTCTTGGTGAAATTGCCAATAGCTTTATAGAAGGTCTATCATAGAAAACTTTCAAAGCCAAATGACTAAAGAGTAACATGCCCTTAGCATCCGCCATTGATAAACAAATAGCAAGCCGCTCAACCTTCAATACCAGCTTAACCTTCTATACCAGTACCACAGTGAAACCTGCTACAAGTAACCCGCCGGATTATGAAGAAATATATTTACCAGGACACCAATAAAACAAAATTCCGGTTATATCCAGCCCTTGGTACTCCTTTATTGCCGGGTTCCACAAATGACGCCTCTCATGCAAATTGAAGAGCATCCACGTAGTGGTACTTCATAATTCAAGTTATGGGGTTGGGAGTAGCTTTGATTTTACCACACGGACGTCTTTTAAACGCGTTAAAGCAGACAAGAATGTTTTGATTCTCGTTTTACCTTCTGGTGCAATTACCTTGAGGCACGAGATTACGCGTTTTCAAACTCTCTTGCACTGCTTTACTGGAAATGTTAGGTAATATCAAGATAACGTTAAGTATGAAAATGTTTTACCGAAGAAACCCATGAAAGGGGTTACTTATGTCAAGTTGAAATCTGGAATATTCGGCGACAAAGTCCACACTCAAACACGTCCTATGCCATATGGTAACATCCACCGTAAATAGCTTATATGATGCCTACCCTTTTGTGTCCCCCAGTGTGAAAACAATTTAGAATAAGGAAAACACGAACAAAACAAGACTATAAAAGCCAAAAGTTTTCAAAGCTTACGTTTAATTTTACTGTTCCAACAAACGCGAAATACATTGTTCTAAAATTTATTAGGCGCTCATTATTTGTGCCAAAAAAGAACTAGGATTTCCTTAGGAGACCACGCAACTATCGCGACAAAATAGGTGCAACATAACGAATAGAATATCGAAGACAGTGTGAAGTGTACGTAGGGGAAGAACGAAAATTTCTCGTGCTTTAATGAAAAGGTTGAAATAAGTGTTCACCTAGTTGTAAAAAAAAAGGTTTCTTAATTTGAACTACAAAATAATAAGCGCCCATTTACTTTTAATACAAGTTGGGAGACGCATAGGGTTACGTCGAAGGGATATGTCAAAGCCACGGGTAACAGCGACCAACTGTAACGGTGAGAGAATGCAGGACATGTTCTGCTATTGTGTTTTCCAAACTGCATGGATAAAAAGAGACACGCTTGTTGTCCACAGTCTGCTCATCTTTTGATTCTTATGCACAAAAATATTGCGTAACCGCACAGCATGGTTAACGACCTTTTTTTGGTAACCTTTTTTTTCTCAAGAAATGCTTGGGTAAACTGGACTTGTTACTGCAATATACCCCTTTGACATGCCCATTCTACTTTACCCACGTGTAATAATAACAATTCTATTATTGTTAATAAAAACGTAATGTAAAATTAAAATTATTAAAGTTTAACTGGAAGGCTATGTGCTAAAATTCCATTACAAAACAATCGACGCCAGCTACCACTAAAGATAGCTCGAAAACGAACGTAGTTTTTAAATATCCAAAACACTCTTTTCCTAATTCCCTACACGGTTAAATATCGACACGTTAAATATGTCTTAAATATCAAGTATAGAGGTTATACATTAAGTCATATTAAACCATAAAACAGCCCACCTGCAAGGGTCTGTTCTAAGAAATAACCCGCTATCTATACACAGATATGTTCTTTGGAGCGGACAGGCTATGTTTGGCTAACCAACATTCTCGTCACCCTCCGTTCTTAGCAGCTGAGATAAAACGAACACTTACTAGACCTTAAGGCAAATAATAACTACCAAAACTTTTTCAACACTCTCAAACTAAGTTATGAATCTTTCAGGGGCTAATTTGTAATTACGTTTTAACAAGACGTCCCCTGTGTACGCTTTGTTAGCTTTAAAGTCGAGGGAGAATGGCTTTTAGTCTTCCATGAAGACTTGCGTGGCAAATTGAGGTAATTTGAATGCATTGCCGTTTCCAGGCAATCTTACCCTTTGGAAATCAATAACCGAGAGCTTATGAACCACTAGGGAGGCTCATACGATGGTAGATTATTAAAGGTTTTTTAACACAGCGGGATCACCGTCTTTACTAGTTCCCTCTCTTGGTGAGCACAAAAGACGTTGAGCCGTAAAAGTTTTTTTGAATGATGAAAAAATGCAATGGTAAGATCAAGGTTCATAACTCGATCCTTCCATTTGACGTATCACGCGTTCACAACTACGCCACCACGCATACACATATTTAACAGTGACAATGGATACAAACTGCTTTTCTGGTTTTACTGCGTGATAGCCTTGGACAGAATGAAACGGTGAAAGGAAAATATATGGTAGAATCTACATGCTATAAGTCGGGATATCTAGAAAAATACTTGGTTCTAAGCTAGAAAAATATCTAAAAGTAGAGGAAACGAACATTTTAAATGCATTCGCCCGAAGTATGTTTTTTACGAGTTAAATTTGTCGGCGGGCCTGTCATACTTTATTACTCAACTGATCGACGTTAACTATGCCTTGTATTTAATGACAAGACCCGCTTGTCTTTATACTACTTTCCCTAACGATTTACGTGGAAAACAATTTATTCTACAAGGTACGATTTATAAACAAATGGAATACTAATAAATTTAAAAGGTTTCCCTTTTTACGCAATTATTAAATTTTAATTACTTTGTACTATTCAAAGAGTCACAATTCGAAAATGCACTGAGAAAATGATTGCTTGCTAATATGATTTGCATTCTATTTATGATGCTTCATTTTGTTTCTCCTCACCCCAACCCTAAACATTTTGATACTAGGTATCAGTGTTTTCTGCTAAAAAGCACATATAACACGTATCCACTGGATAGAGATTTACCTAGTGGAAGCGTTACCTAACTGAACAACTGGGGCAGAACATTACACAACTATACACACTGAAAGGGTAAGTCACGCCTATTCAAGAGCAACGGAGCAGTGAACTTAAATCGAGAAACAAAACAATGCATACCAACAGTGTGTGCATCTAAGGGCAGACACACGCATAGGTATTAACCACACAAAAAATAAATGTTCCTATAGCTTGGTAAGAAAAAAGCCTTGAGAAGTAACAGGAGGACAAAGTTGATTACACGGAAATACTCTTAAGTGGCGTGATCTACTCCTTCTGGCCCTTTAAAAGGACCTTAAATTACTGACAAATAACGAAAAGATACTAGACAAATCGCACAGTTTGTTTAGACGCTATGGTAACGGTTTATGTCTTTGCGTCGGCAAACAGGAAACCGTTACCAAAAAAACACACGATCCTTTTGCCTGAAGGTATACAGCCATTCTTGGCGAAGGGTCGTTGTTGTGGTTCACTGCAAGGATAAGAAAGACAAAAGTACATCAGTATCGTAACGGCAAAACACAACTAGGGCATAATCCCTATACTTATATTAGACTACACGCTATGTAATTTTCGACGTCAAGTAAATAAAAAAGCCGTGATCCAAAAAAACGTTATTTAGTCATCCATGCAATCTGATATCTAGTACCTAACCGCACAAAATCGACGAGTGTCTAATGGCCATGTCAAAAAAGTGCAAAAATAGTTGTTATCGGTAATGTCAATGGGGAAAGTGTACAACTTAAACTGTTATTTGTCTAGTTGTAATCAATGAAGGGGTCTACTTCCGAAAGACACTTGCAGTGAAGTGGCCGTCGGGGAGTGAAATACAGAAATTAGTTGTTATCAATTGGGTTGATGGAGTCAACTACCCACCGGAGAAAGATTCAGAAGTTGAGTTTACTCTGTCAAAAGGGAATCGAGGGATTTTAGTTCGTGTGGCTTTACAATTATGTGGAATAGCGGAGCTACGCTATCAGTGGGAACATGGGAACATGAATAACACGAATAAATAAGGTCACGATTAGCGCGCTTATTGATTTCTGAGTACAATGTAGCAGGTTTGAGCTGCGTTGGAGGGAAGCGTTTCATTGTACAGTGCAGGCTTGCTGTTCCATTGTTGCAAACACTGCTAATAAGTCTGTGCAGAAACGAAAAGTCCACCAAAAAAAGAAAAAAAAACCAAGAAACATAGGCTCCCGTGCCAGGTAAACAATGCAGTGGGGACATGTCTTACCATTCTCTTCTAAAATCAAATTGAAACTACAAATTGTTGACTTGTTTGTTCTTCAGGGCTATCGGCATATTCAAGAGGAGGGTACAAGCCAGGTGTTGGCTCAGCGTTTTCAACTTCACCGCCATCATCATCCTTATCATCTTGCTTCGTCGCTGCAACTTGTTCCTCTTGTGGCGTTTCCTCTTCATTTGTATCAACAGGGCCCTGTAAGAATTGCGTTATTTCTGCATAGGGCGTTTCTTCGTAGGCAGGGGGCCGTTTTACTGGCCCCGTAGGGGCCGCTGACTTTTGATGAAATTCCCCAAGGTCAGCATATGTCCCTTCCCCGGGTTGGGCTTTCTGTTGATGGAAGAAAGTTGAACTGGAATGACCACTCGCGTGTTACACTATACAAGATGTCTTGCAAGGGTAACAAGAGGCAAGTTAGACTAGGCATATCAACAACTAATTGACAACCGTGAGACAAACTATAAATGAACCGTTTATACACATACCACGATAAATAATATCTTTCATAACTTAGACTAAGTGGTTGGGAAAATTACCGGTGAGATTAGAGGTTATACAGCGGCGGTTTTAGTCAGTGACAGCAATGTCACACATTGGCCAATGCTGTGTAAAACGGAAGCAAGACAAGTCGCAAAGGGTAACACTAAAAAACGAATAGCATTAGTTCAACTCAAAAAAAATGCCTGCTCCTTGGTGTTTTTGTCCTTTGTTACTTCCCAAAGCTGGCCAAAATAAAGATCAGCATCATTCTTTTTTTAACGAGAACGTTATAAACTGCAATGTCAATTAGCATCAGATAAAACTTGTTACGTAACGAGCGTAATTTACGATTGAGGCTGTTTTTTTTTTCAAACTCTTGAACAACAGGTATAATGGTAAAACACAATTTTAAAGGTTTCATAAAAATGACCCACGGTCCTTATTTCTTTTTGTTGTTGTTGTTGTTGTTGTTGTTAGTGCTTAAATCTATCGACACTCACCAAAGAGCAGTCCATTTTTTTGCGGGGTTTTGAAAAAAGGCATTATAAAGAACACAAAAACAATGCGTATGAAACGATGGATTTCCTTTTATTGACATTTCCGTATTCTTTTATTTATGTTCTTATGCTATCTACTACACTGCATCATAACAAGGTATCTTTTTATCATTTAGAACTGTTTTAACCTCTACTATAATCAAGCAGAAAGTTTACATTTTCATATGGAGGTTCTTTAACCTAGTTGTCATTTGTTGGTTACAAGTTTAAAATCACAAGTTTAATTCTCTGCTTTAAGTTTTAACAGGATTTGAGTGTAATTTTTACATAAGAGGTGTTAGGATAGTAAATAATAAAATTTACAGAGGAATGTTAACAGAGGTATTCAAAGAATTTGTTGTATGATTTACCATTCTACTTCAACGAGTCGTATCTCGAGTAACTCTTCCATTTGGTTATGACGGAATCCAGTCAACTTTTCCAGTTTGGTGATGATTGCCAGCAGAATCCTTTCCAAAGGCAGATGAGAGACATCTTTGGGATACTTGGATTTACAACCAGAGTTTGTATATAACTTCAATATATCTCAAAGATTCCTCTTTTCAAGCGACGCTTACATTCTGGTCAGCACCTCTACTAAAACGCCATTCTTACCGGTCGCTATAAACGACTCTTCCTATTGTATTTAGGCACTTTTTGAAGCATTTATTCATTGTTACGTGAAACCAAAGAGTGGTTTTGTTAAAAACGGTGAAGTTGTAACAACATCAGTTACTGTCAACCAAGTAAGTTAAGGAATCGCATCAATATCGCGGTTGAAATGGCTGCCAATCTCTTTGAATTGACCTCACGTTTTGCCAGGCTACTTTTCAAAATCAATAACGCACATTGCTATGATGATAATTTGTTTAGCGAAGCGCATATAGAGTGACAAACTATGAAAAAAAAGGTGACAAAAGTGGGTGTTTCTTGATGATGCAGAAACACTATTGGTTTGCCTTTGTGTTTTGTCTTGTTCACCGTCTTTTCCCAGTCAATCTTTTGTATTACGTCACTTGGTGATTGCATCCGTCCGCAACACCAAGAAAATATCCAAAAAGTGAAAAAGTAATAAGTGACAATTTGTGGCATTGCACCATTTAATTTACTTAAGTAAATATAAGGGAACTTATCATAAACAACTTTCAACGACTTTCACCATATTAGATCTCCACCTAATCAGAGTACTTATAGGGTTGTTTAACTTTTACAATGAACATCACGCTATAGATCACAAAACACGGGTTGCATTTGTTTAATTTTATATGTCAAGGGTAGGTTTAGTCTCATTCTGTTATTTTCTTTCATCCTAATTTTGTACTCATAAGGTGCTTAACAGCTAGCTTTCAGGGACTTGTGCTTTGCATGTTAATTGTTTAGATCAGTCATCATTGAGGTTATTAATTGGGCAAGATTAAACAACATTTACTTTTAGCAGGTAGAGAAATTAAGCAATACGAATTACGAGAGTAATAAATCAGAAACCTTAATCGTCATTAGGTTTAATAAACAACTTAGTGGTGAGTTTTACGTTAGAATTAGTGTTTACCTGCCAACAAAAACACTGTATGAGAATATTTTAAGATTTAGGACCACTAAGTGAAAGAAGGCTTATCAAGACATTACAAAAAACTGTTTGGAAACTGATTTAATGCGGTACTTGTTCATAAGGTTATCAAATGACGCACAGTGAGGTAAGTACAATTATTGTTCCGTTAACAGGTGAAGGTTTCCTATAATTGATAAAGGTTGGTAATTGACAAATGTAACACAAGAAGCGTAAGAATCAGAAGGGATAAGAGAAAAGGCAAGCAGGTATTGCTGTAGTTGTGCTATTGGTTAAGTTCATTATTCACGAACGAATGCTGCACGAACGGTACTTGTTTATGAGTTTATCAAATGACGCACAGTGAAGTAAGTACAATTATTGTTCCGTTAAGGTGGCTCCGTAATTAATACAAGAGCATTTAGCTGTGACAAAATTTTCCGTCACAACTTTTTCGATTTTAACGCGATGGCTACGAAACTTTGCAAAGAACAATAGATATCATTCGGCAATAATACGAAATATTCCGATTTCATTGATGGTAAATATTTCTTGAGAAATTTGCGCTTAAAAGGACCCTACTATACAAAGAAAATCGCGTCTAGTAAAAAATTTTGCTGATATTTTTTACTGAAATTTCTGGTATCGGCTTTAATTGATATAATAAATATGCCAGAGGAATTTTAGAAAAATCGTTGGAGCAGAAGTCCGTAACTAAAAGTCGCTCAAAATTCAGCTGTGAAATTGTTTTGGAATTTCAAAAATAAATTGCTATCAGGAAGAAGGAGACACCAGTTTCAATTTTCAGGACAAGTAAATTCAGTGGTTGCTAATTCTGAAAACAGAAGCCGATTGCCTATCGTGCTATTCTTTAGAAGGTACTTTTCAGTTTTAGAAGCACTATAAATTGCTTCAAACTTTGCTCTGACGTCGAATGAATTGTTCCTCGACATTTTTAAAATATCTCTTGGCAGTTTTGGTTCAAACTCCTGCTACATACATTTTGATATATTGCAATGCATTCTCAACGGCTTTTCCTGCTGTACGTTGTTTCCAATTCAGGAAAAAGGTATTGGGATTGTAAGCTACCTTGTATCGAAGCTCAGATAGAACTGTCGAGCACCTTTGTTTATGACCAGAAAATGAGCACGAGCGGCAGCTCTGCGAGGGGTTCACCTCAGCTCAGGGGGGGACGAATGACAATGATGCCTATGTCGGTGAACCGATCTGTATAAACATGTATTGCAGAGCAAAACATAATAATCAAGAAAAAAATACCCATTCATTGAAGGAAGGAGTGACAAAAATTTCAGAGTTGTAAATTTATTCACGGGAAGTATTTTTGCGATAATTTTATTTTGCACTGTGATGTTATTCGGTTCAAAGGCATGGTCATCATTGTCATTCGTCCCCCCTAGCTGAGGTGAGAATTCCTCGCAGAACTGCAGCTCGTGCTCATTTTGTAGTCATAAACAAAGGTGTTGGACAGTTCTATCTGAGCTCTGATACGAGGTAGCGTCCAATCTCAATACTTTTTTCCTGTGTTGGAAGCAACGAACAGCACTACAAGTCATTGAAAATGCATTGCAATACATCAAAATGTATGCAGCAGGAGTTTGAGCCAAAACTGCCAAGGGATATTTTAAAAATGTCGAAGAACAAGTAATTCTACTTCAGAGCAAGGTTTGGAGCAATTTATAGTGCTTCTAAAACTAAAAAGTACCTTTTAAAGAATAGCACGATAGGCAATCGGCTTTTGTTTTAAGAATTAGCAAACGTTGAATTTACTTGTCCCGAAAATTCAAACTGGTGGCTCCTTCTTCCTGATAGTAATTTATTTTGAAATTCCAAAACAAATTTCACAGCTGAATTTTGAGCGACTTATAGTTACGGACTTCTGCTCCAACGATTTTTCTGAAATTCCTCTGGCATATTTATTATATCAATTGAAGCCGATACCAGAAATTTCAGTAAAAAGTATCAGCAAAATTTTTTACTAGACGCGATTTTCTTTGAACAGTAGGGTCCTTTTAAGCGCTAATTTCTCAAGAAATATTTGCCATCAATGAAATCGGAATATTTCGTATTATTGCCGAATGATATCTATTGTTCTTTGCAAAGTTTCGCAGCCATCGCGTTAAAATCGAAAAAGTTATGACGAAAAATTTGTCACAGCAAAATGCTCTAGTATTAATTACGGAGCCACCTTAACAGGTGAAGGTTTCTTATAATTAATAAAGGTTAGTAACTGACAAATGTAACACAAGAAGCGTAAGAATCAGAAGGAATAGGTAGGCAAGCAGGTATTGCTGTAATTGTTCTATTGATTAAGTTCATTATTCACGAACGAATGCTACAGAGGTTAAATCCCACAGACAGTGAATACCCTCTCGAGTGAAGAGTGAAGGAACTGTTAAATATTAGAAACATCGTGATAAAGGTATGGATGTGCCCTAAACATGCGACTGGCCCCAAATTTTTAAATAAAAGCTGCAGTGATTCATTTTTGCTTTTTGTGCAGATATCTCCGATCTCGACAAATTCTGGCACTTGAGAAGGTGTTCATGCACTGTACAAGCTGTTAAAGGGGCTGTGTCACGACTGTATGGTTCATTTTGTTAATAATGCCAATTACGACTAGAAATGGAGCTTAAGAATTTACTTGTTTCCCAAGGATTACATTTTACGTCACAAAAACCAAATGAAGTCTGAAAAACTGTTAAGGCTACCAAAGTCTTCAAAAACCACAATTGCAATCCGTTTCAATCTTCTTCAGATTTTGTCCATCCGTGCCTCCTTTTGTATTTAATCTGTTATTTATACCTTCTTTCCATATTTTGGGCAGTTACTTTTATGTTTCACTCAGTTATAGTGGTATTTCCCACTGTTTTAATTTTGATAAATTTGGTGACAGAGCTCCTTTAAAGAGCTTCACATTCAAATTGAAAACAAACTGAGTCTTACCTTTGTGACACTCGAATCGTTGACTGCTATGCCTGGTGTTTGCGCAGGGTTTGGAGTGAACGTCACCATAGGGGTTGCATCTGGTCTTTCCTGGTCATAACCTCTATTCTCATTGCCATAGTACGTTTTGCCATTAGAATAATTTCTGTCACCAGTTCCACCACGGCTAACAACCAGATAAGGATACAGGCATGTTATGCGACATATCCTCGTATATTTAACTGAAACTTCACCACAGTTTTCGTTTCTTTTCTTCTTTTTTTTTTTGGGGGGGGGGGGGGGGGGGGATCGGGAATGGGGTAGTGACCAAAACAATTCGAACAAGTGGAATTTATTACAGGAAAAAAGCGCTTTCATTTATTTTTTTAACGACTGTGAAAACCAAGCTACTGAAATACTGTTTTGGTAGGGAAGTAAGACACTAAGGGCGCTTACCAGAAGTTGTAACTGGCCGGCGTGAATAGGCATTTTGAATGTAAAATTTTTCGCGAAATTTTCCGTAAAACCCACCACTGCCGAACGGACTATTCTAAGAATAGACTGAGCTGGCTGGATAGTCGTCATTAATAGTGGAAGCCTCTTCACAACTGGACTGGTCTGGCCAGCCAGTTCTAACAGACGGAAAGCAATGTAAGATATCATTTTCACTAAGTCTTTCACTACGGTCAATGTACTTGGTGTTACGTGTTGTGTTAGCGCGTTTGCTTAAGTAGTTCGCGTAACACTCCCAAAAAAAATGGAAAGAGACAGTCACAAGCTTTGTACAGTGTGTATATGGAGCAACTCGAACGAATGTTAGAACCACCTTTGATTACTAGAAACAGTACAAAAGGAAAAATTTCTTACCCTTCTGGACTATGTCTCTGTGCGTATTCACCTGTAAGATTAATAAGACACGTTAAAATCAATGGGAAGCAAAGAATGTTGAGAGGACCGTGCCTCGGCCATTTCATTTTTTGTTTGATTAGGCTATGAAGTATAAGGTTAGCAAAGAAATTACTTCTACTCAAGCACAAGGACCCACAGACGGATGGCTGATGGATACATTTCTGGACTGAAAGCTGTAGCAACACGACTTAGATATTTTAAGTGCATTAAGTTTTCATTTTCAGGCAAACTGCACAAAGATTTTTGAAATCTTTTGCTTATTTTGCACTAGTCAGAGATAAAAAAGTGGCCAGTCAAACAAAACAACATCTTGATTGGGAAGGCCAGGGGTGTAGGAAACGACAATACCAGTCTTTTCGTGGAGCAGTGAGTGCTGTCTGTGTACAAAAGTTCTGAATTCTTCCCTACACGACAAAACCACGAGTTTCTGACCTACAAAGAAGTCTCCCCATGGCTATTATTCATTGTTACAAACAACAGAGATGAAATACGAAAACAGCTTCTGCTCTTACACAGTTCCAGGCATACGTCAGAAAGTAATTTATTATATATGTACAAAGAATTACTCCTGACCAACAGAATTTGGCAAATAAAATTACTGACAATTTGACATCATCGTTGCGCGATTTTTATTTACTCGTTGTGAAGAATCACAAACTCGCATGCTCGTATCTAGCTTGTTCTCTTGTGACTTTTTACAGTATCAAATACGAAGTAAATAATGTAATCTCAAATGTACCAAAATAAACAACGAAAAGCATTCTGCCGTCCATATAGATTTTTTTGTTAGTTGCAAATGGGTGAGCCAGTCAAGTGCATTTAAATGCATTTTTTTTAAATAACTATTTGCAGGTAGCACATCCACATAGTGGTTCTTCGTCTACCTGATTCCTGGTCGAATTGTAATTTGGAAATGTTGGTTTTTGAGGAGAGGGGAAAACCGGAGTACCCAGAGAAAAACCTCTTGGAGCAAAGGAGAGAACCAACAACAAACTCAACCCACATATGGCGTTTGAGTTTGAGTTTGTCTATTTTTTTTTAAGGCAAAGTTGTAAGTTGCTGTGTTAACGTTTATATTTGAAGTGAAAGATTAGATTACAGTTAGTAGCGTAAAAGGTTATCGTTTGCTTTCCTATGCATGTCCTCAAAGAAAATATTATACACCTTACAGTAAAATTTCTTTCAGATATTGTGAGGTATAAATGTAAAAGCTACGCATAGCTGTTCGTCCGGACCTGTTAAAAAAATAAATAAACAAGAAAAGACAAGAAAATATAATGGCCTTAGGGAAAGACAAAAGTTTTTAAGTCGGCCTGATTTTCCTTTTAGGTCTCCCCTTAAAGACAGAAATACTGACCCTAGAAATCGTAACCTGTAAATTGCTGCTATTGAAGAGATCTACAATTTCACAATTTTTTCACTTCAGGTCTGTTTGCGGGATTTTTTTCTTAATCATTTAGCCCCTTCTTCAAAAGGTGAACTCATGCCGAAGGCTCCTAAAGTTCAATTAATAGGAATGTGAAGATTTCTTTTCTTGACTTTGAGTTCATGTCAATATTCGTAAATTTGATTGCTTTTATCATAAGTATAGAAACGGAAGCTTTGCTTTTAACCCTGGCTAAATCTATATATTAGAAAATTTCATTTGGATTTGTGGTGGTGGCTCGAATTCTTCCAGTCATGGAACGGGTACAGTTTTCTGTTGTCTCCTTGCTAGGCTCCCATTCCAGATGTTTATGTATCCTCTGACGCTGCTGGCTCCGTTGGATACTGGGCTATTGTAGGTAGAGACTGGTTCGCGAGGAGATGGTCTCCACTGCAGACGCCCTTATCTATTGTCTACAAAGAACTTTTTCCGATTGTTTTGGCGGCTTCCTTCTGGGGTCATCAGTGGTCTGCAAAGCTGGTGGAATTCTGTTCTGACACTACAGCAGAGGTCGAGGTGTTGCGATGCAGTTGTTAATGGATGAAATCCATTAAGTTTTAACTCTTCCTTTGACACTGCTTGTTTTGAAGTGGTTTCAAAACGGACAAAGTTCTTGAGGGTGCAAGTAGTCTGTGTAGCACTCGTTTCCGCGCGAGTTTGTCTTCCATTTCTTGTGCTCTCGCTCCAACGTTCGCGCAACAGTTCACCGGGGAACGCTTGCTAGGCAGGCTAGGGTGCATGCCCATTCACAGCTTGTTTTGTAGTTGTTTTCAAAATATGGTTCAGAAAGTAAGAGCTTATTTTTCACTTACCATTAGAGATTGACTGTGCACCACGCTTTTTCTTGTGAAGTGAGCATGCAATAATGGCTACAATGAGACCCACAAAAGCCAGCGCAGCTACTGCAACTAGAGCAATCAGGGCAGGTTTTCCTGCAAAAAAGAAGCAAGTCATTTAAATGATTTGTTACCTCGGTTTCCTGCGTCATAAAAATCCTTAAAGACGCAAAATAATTTGACGTATGCGTCACGGAAAGACGCAAAGATCGATTGATCGATCTGAGGATGTTCTTGAGGATGTTCTTGCACGATTTCTGTGGCTGTTCTTGTGGCTGTTGTTTAACAAAGCATATTTCTTTTAGTCTTTGTTGTGCTTGACGATAGAAGGAGTATATTTTTATTTCAGTAAACTATAATGCAGAGTTTTGAGTCGGTCTTTAGACTAACTATGGTTACATAATGACCCACGGGCTCGTGTTTTTGAATAGGGACTAGATGCTTCTGGACTGGGGCTCATGACTCATGATTTTTTTTACAAAATTGGTCTTACAATAGTCAGGACTCACAATAACTATTTGAAACAAAATCACTGCATTTTATAGGAGCATGCATACATGTAGTGGGCCAACTACCATCCCTGCATCCCGGATAAGGAAAGGAAAAGGGTCAGTAAGTCAGTATAACTTACACTGATCCGAAAAGGTAGTCGTTTGTTTTTCACTCTATAGGCACATTGACACCGCTATCCACCGGATAGGTCGCTTTCCAGTTGATAAGTATTAGGAAAAACCAACTGCGTAATCCACTGGACAGAGATTTATTAGGTGGATAGCGCTATCCACCTTTTGAACAGCTGGGATCAGATCTACTTGGAAGAGAGGAAACGGAATGAAATTTAACCCGGGAATCTTTTGCAAAGCTCACCGAAAGTGTTCGAGTTATACTCACCCTTTTTACAGTCATCTCCTTCGAAAAACATGTTACACTCTTCTTTTTCCTCAGGAGCTAAAGAAAAAAGATGACTTAATGACTACATCTCAAACATGTACTATTTAGCAATTCATCGACTGTTAAGGTCTTGTGCATTTGTTTTCTGGGTAAATAAACGTTGCTGCAGATATTCTGTAATGTTCAGTAACGATCCTCTTTAAGTACATAGCATCCCATCAGGATAGTAAGGGGCTTCATTTTGACAAGGCCTATCACGGATTAAAGAGATAAATATATATGCAGTACTATGCATTGCAATGCTATCCAACCAATACCATACCACGCAGTGATGGCACTGAAACAGGATGCTTTACTATACACGGGAATTCACTTAATAAAATAGGAAATAGTTTAAGCATAACACTACTTTCTCATTGCATAAACTGCAAAACAGTCCGTACTTTGGCGTTTTTAAGTACGCGCGAACAGTCAAACTAAAGGTCTGAAGTGGGCCTACAGGAACGTGAGGCTCGCGCGCGTGACACTCTTACGCTACTCTAAGGCTACAATAAACCAATCTTGAGGAAAAAAAAACCGACTGTTTTACATTCTACTCATTGCAGGCACCAAGTGATGCGTCTTCTTACTAGGGTGCTAAATTTCAAACTTAATCAATCGTCATTTCAAATGAAAGCACACCAGGAGTTAGTCAAATAGGCAATTTTCATAGTGACGACTTTTGTCAACAATAACCAGAAATCATTTCGTGTTTTGCTCTCTTATTTAAATTGGGCAACCCCGCTGAGGTTTAATTGAAAAAAAAAATAAAGTGAAGGATACTGGTAGTTGTAGTAAAATGACGTTACCATGCAAGTGTCCTATGAGTGAACATGTCCCTACAATTAAGACTTGAAAAAAATTACTGAGAACAGTACTAACGTGGTGGAGTAGTTGGTCCAACGCTGACACCATCTACACTCAACGGGCCAAGCTTCTTATCTTCAATTATCTTTTTGGTCAATTCCTCTATCTCACTTACACTAACGTTGTTTTTGAATTGCACCTCCAACTCTGCAATCACACTTCCTGGACTATCAGGAGAAACCAGAAAGCCAAAAGGGTGAATGAGCGTGAAAGATAAAACAACTGAAAAAAGGGGAGGACAGGAGGAAAGCGAGGGCGACGACGACATTGATGATGATGTTGGGGATAGTGAAGGTGATGGTGGCAATGCATTCAAACAGAATGTAACAAGAATTAAGAACGTGATCAAACAAGTCGAATCTGAGGGATAATTGGACACCTTCTCCTAAATACAACTACGTTGACACGGCACCCTCCGAATTTTCGACCAGATGAAAATTCTGACCGGACACTACGTTTACACAGCACCGTTCAATATTTTCGCTCTGTTCACACGGAACTTTGAACGGCTAGACGTCTTAATAAACGAACACCCAAACGCACCAAATTCCAAGCCATCGAAAATTGATGCGGTAGTTGCCTACATCCCTGAAAAAAGGTACAGGGGCCTACATCCCCAGGAAAAGGTACAGAGGCCTACATCCCTAAGAAAAGGTACAGGGCCCTACATCCCCAGGAAAAGGTTCAGGGGCCTACATCCCCAAAAAAGGTACAGAAGCCAAATCCTAGGAAATGTAAAGGGGTCTACATCCCCAGGAAAAGGTACAGAGGCCTACGTGCCCAAAAAAGGTACGGGAGCCAAGTCCCTAGGAAATGTAAGGGGGCCTACATCCCCAGAAAGGGGGCCTACATCCCCAGGAAAAGATACAGGGGCCTACATCCCTAGGAAAAGGTACACAGGGGTCTACTTCCCCAGGAAATGAAGAGGCAGTTAATACTTGGATGTACGTGGATTTTTCTCCTGTCCAAGCCCCCTTCCCATGCAAAAGTAAAATCTAAAGATTCCTACAACTTACCGTAATTTTGTTACTATTACCCTTTCCACTTCCAAACCTTGGGCTTTATATTCGTCCTTAGTCTGTAAAAATAATAAGGGTCTTTCTCAAACAGTTATCTTCCCAGTTTTTATGCAAGTGTCTGACTCCAACTGCGAGCTCAAAATAACTATCTGCAGTTTGATTAAAAATAAGCAGTACCCTGCGAAAAATAAAAGCTGTGTTTGTTGACCTCTATTGAAAAACAATGAAGCCACAATAACGAAACGCGTCCTCATAATGAAATTATATGAGAAGATAGCCACGAGTTAGCACTGGACCAAAGTTATTAGGATATATTACAGATACTGTTTCTTAACAACTATGTATGGTTATAAGAAAATGCGTGAGAACTATCTAAGCTAAGGATAGCTTCATTACTCCAGGGCCAAGTGGGCAAACAAGGTTAAAATCTAAGGATAGATGAAATTATCATACAGCTTAGTCATTTCTCGTTCTGTGTAGTGATTGGTCAGTTTTCGGTGCAAAACTTCCTATGTGGAACAAGGTGTCAAACATCTCTCCCTTGGCGTCAACTGACTTCATCTCGACAAAAAAAAGTTCTTAATAAGTAGTTTCATTATAGCCTGTTTGGGGTTTCCCTAGTTCAACAAGAACAAATCAAAATTTTCAGGGGCCGCTTAACTGCCTCGTTTTTTCAATTGGAACTGTTAAATATGGGTGTCCTGTTACCGCCTCGATTTATGCCCAGGGTGCGGATAAATTCACCTACGGGGGTAGGGGTGTAAGACACTTGGTGTACGTGAGCTACGTGATCGTGATCCTAAACGATCTGAATGGCTTGCTTTTTACATGTACACGCCGTTTAAATGAAGACCTTGAATTGCAACAGTCTTGACAGAAAATGACAACCACGTAAAAATGAAATTTTATGAAATAAAGATATGGACGAAAATGACACTTACAGCATTCACAATTTGGGTAGTAAACTCTTTGGTTTCTTCAGCATCGAGGTCGTCATACACAGCTTTATATTGCCTAGGAAATGTGAAGCGGACATCCACGGTCTTCACAAGTTGTTCTGGGAAGTAACAAGGGAGAATATTCATAACAAAAATTAAATTAATCATAATAATACCAATAACAATAATATTAATAATAATAATGGAGCAATGCATACGCAATCAATGCAACGCAAATAACTCGACGTCAAATCGAGCCATAAAACTTGTTGACATTTTAATACGCGAGTTTTATAACGTTGTGGATTAATTTTATCCTTGGTTTAAATTTCATTTCCTTTGTTGAAACTCATTATCATATAATACCATCCCCACGAACAACGAAAAAATAAAATTTAAACTAAGGATAAAATTGAACCACATAGGAGAAAAAAAGTAGGCAAAACCACAGTTTAAAAAGTGTATGCAACAGTAGAAAAGCTGTACTGATACTTCCTACCTTAATAACATGGAGATAACTAGTAAAAAAAGTGAACGATCGGTAGGTAGTCGAACGATAGGTAGTCGGGTAATTATGATAATTGACTCGTGATTAATGTGGCAGTACACGTACCAGTGTCTTCGCAATTTGGTCCTTTCTTCCTTTGCTCACACAAACACAAGTAAAATTTCCCGACTTTTCGACATGTCCGTGGATTAGAGCATCCAACCGCACAACCACCTGTTGATATTTTGGAAAAGAAATAACAATAGTTCATATGGATGCCAACTTGACTCCATAGAAGTCAGTGACTTTCAAAAGGCTCCTGTTTAACACTAAACCACTACACTAAAACGGCAACAACTAAAAATTTATGGTTTTGTTTAAAACGTCAACCAGCTGTAGATGTTTTAGTGTAGATAGACAATAAGAAATTTCCAAATAACACAATTTCGACATGGGGGATTTCCCCAGTGGCTGTCGCGTAATTATTATCTGTTAACGCACGTAAATTTTACGCGCGTAAATAAAATAGAGGCAATGTCTTGAAGGTCGCGCATGAACGTAAAAGTTGTACCTGTTACAACAATGGATACGTCTCTAGTAACAGCACTTCCAACACTGTTATTAGCAGTGCATCTGTAGGTTCCTTCATCCTGTAGTTCAATATTGATCAAAGGAAAGACGACAGGACTGTTATCGGATACTCTTGTCCAGCTGATGACTGGAGGTGGATTACCATCTGCTGAGCAGTTCAGAGTCACACTGGAGCCTGCATTCAGTGTCTGGTTGTTAGAAATGTGTGTTATGACTGGAGGGTCTACGTAAAAAAGGCAACAATAAAATATTAGTTACAGCCAAGGTTGGTTTGCATTAGACTGCGAGCAATCTTTCAGGTTAGTCCAGTCGAGAATTAGCAAAAGCCAACGTCTACGAGTCGCACAAGGAAATTCACACCTCCTCCTCGTCCTCCGTTTTAAACGTGGCAGGGAGGAAACATATTATTAAAACCAGAGGTTGCAGGTACTCTTTATACCACCTGTTACTATGCCAGGTTTGGTGCACACGACCTCAGGCACAACTACATCGCAAAAATTCCCAAAACTTGCATTTTCAAGTAGCCACCTATGGCAGTTAAGGGTGGACGCTGGAAAGAACCGCTCTTACAAAAATGAACGCTTTCAATTCGAAGTTATCGGAAATAGCCAAGAATTTCTTGCACAGAAATACAAAGAAAAAGTCGCTAAGAGGGGCTTTAAGTGTATTAAGAACAATGGCTTGAAAATTTTGTAAGGACACCAACAGCGAAACATTTTGGCCTCCTGAAATGACAAGACGGGCAAGGGGGCGACTAAATAAGAAAAAAACATAAATGGGGGGAAAATGGAAGAGGAAGGAAGAAAGAAAAAAAAACATGCAGGAATTGTTTGGAAGGCGAGTTGATATGCAACTTTCATATGATTTCACATAGACAATCAAGCCATCTGATCACCCCAAAATTTTTGCTCAATGCAGGTTTCGCTGTACATATTCTTATGACTATTATTCCCTTCACTTACAAAGCACATCGACGAATGTAGTCACTGACTTATTGCCACACCTATTGCTTGCTTCACATCGGTACTCTCCACTCTGATTTCTGTAAATATTGATCAACCTCAAAACATTTCCTGGTGTGCGTTGACCACTGCCCTCTTCGATCCAAGTAACGTTGGGTGGAGGGATTCCAGACACGTTACAGGTCAGATTCCGGCTTGAACCCTCAACCAAAGTCTGATTTTGTACTGATTGGATGGATGACGGTACTGCAATCAAACAAAAAATACATGGAGTCCCAAGAATAAATGTTGAAAGAGTACCGTTATAATCTTTTTACTGCCGTTTCCTTCTTAATTGGTTTTCTTTGCACGAGCTGCACGTGCCATATAACACCAGCTTCACGACATAAGAACGCAGCATGGCTAACGTTGGAAGGAAGGAAGGAGTCATGGATGAGAGGACAACAGACGTGCCGTCTTTACATTAGATATTAACATGTGAACAGTAAGCTCGGACGTCAGCATACAAAGGCGCCACTAGCAGCCGCTCTTAGTCCATTTATGAGCTTACTGTACCCACCCAACCCATGATGTGAATGATGTGTAAAGGTTGGCCACGTCACCAAGGTCTACGTCCTCTACTCTTTTCGAACAGTGGTGTGGGTTCTCTTACGTCCCACAAGAAAAGATCAGTGAAAATGCTGTGAGATGGGACCTACGGTTTTTCGTCCTTATCAGAGAAGACTAGGAAGTCTAACCGTTTGCAGATGTCATTACAAAGGCAGCACTTTCTTCTCAGTTATTTAAAGACCCTGAGTGTTGGTCTGGCTGGGGTTTGAACCCGTGGCCTCCCGCTCAGAAGACCGGCGCTCTCCCAACTGAGCTAACCAGGCTAAGGGTAAATCTGCAATACACAGGATAGTCTTTCTTGTCGAAATGAAAAGCGATCTGGTATCGTATGAATGCCTGTTCACACTGCGCTGAAGAGTGGCACAGAAACCCCTTCGATATATCTGTGAAGATACACTTTCAAGATCGGTGAGGCACAGCTTCTTAAGTTCTCGCCTGTGAACAGAACCCCTATCCGATATGGTTTCCGTGCCATCTTAAGGGGTATCTGTGTACAAAATATAGGAGTAAATTGTCTTTGTCGACTCATTTGATAAAACAAAATCTTGCTAGCTATTCTAGTCTCTTCTGTAATAATGGCGCAGTGGAATTCAGTGGAAACTACGCAGTTCGCCCGTGAATGGGTAAGGAATCGCCTATTTCGCGAACAATTTGATGGAAGGTAAGCCTTTTTGAACCGGTAAAACTATTCGAAAACGATATGTGCGGGCGTGATTTTCTTTCACTTTTCTTTTTCTGTTCAAAACGGTAAAAAATCATTCTTCAATTAAAAAGGGAGGAGGGGGCCTCAGGCTTTCACATGTACAAGTGACAGTACCTCCAACATCAATCGAAAAATTTGCGCTGTTTGCTGCTCCTACAAGGTTACTGGCAACGCATCTGTAGGTGAGCATTCCACTACTTGATAGTGATGTGGTCAACATTCCTGAATTGTTACTTCCCAAAGGAACATTATTTTCAAAAAACTGATAAGACGAGACTGGTGGACTAGCATCAGCTGAGCAGCTCAGGGACACAGAATCGTTCTGGCAGGCTTCATCCCCAATGTTGGTCGCTACCAAACGTACATTCTCAGGTTTGACTGAAAAAATAATTAATGCATTTTCAGGTGCAACGACATTTACTGTCAACACCCCGTAATCATGCCATAACCTTGGGGGATACAGGAAGAATAGCGTCAAGGTCACTTTAGTATTAGATCAACGTATATTTGTCTAAAATGCACAGTACCAAGTAGTTTTCCGAGGTCTTATCCCTTGTTTCCACCTTCCTTCTCTATAATCGTCTGGGTGGTATCGATCGCCCGGTTCGTCTAAAAATTATCCAGCGAGCAGTGGCCATTCAATCTTCCTGCATAAGTCGGGAAGACTTATCTGGAAGGCTATTTTATAATGTGTTCAGCAGTCGACACAATCATATAAAAAAAGATCTCCCGCGATGCGAGCGATCGTAAGTCACTGTATACATGTAGTATCCATATAATCGTCCAAATGTTTTGAAGGAAGTCTAACAGGCAAACACTAAAAACTAAAGGAGCAGGAATAGAACTCTGTACTACTTTACCCTGATCTTGCATCACTATGATACTGAAGAAATTTTCACAACAGGAATTTTAGCCTGAGAAAAGAGCCGACATTTCGCGACGCCACCACAGGCTTGCCCGCAAAATGAAGTCTGAGGAATGAGCGCAGAAATTCCATACTGATGACGTGTCACTACCCAGATCTAGGTAGTACTCCTGATTGGTTGATAATTTGCTTCATCCAATCAGAAGTCATTTCGCGGGGAAACCAGTGGCGGCGTCGAGAAAAGTCGGCTGTTTTCTCAAGCTAAAGGAATTTATGAGTTCTTAACGACATTTCACGCTCTTCTTAAAATACAGAAATTTTCGCGATTGTCAAAATACCATGGCATGAGCGACACCTTTGCAACTTACATGGTACGGCGATGTTCACTGTCTCCACCGCATTACCACATTCATTGCTGGCCTCACATCTGTATTCCCCAGCTTGACTCCTGTTGATATTTGTCAGCTGTAGCAAACTTCCATTTGTGCGCTGTCCACTACTAACCTTCACCCAGGAAACGAAGGGTAAAGGGACACCAGTTGCCATGCAGGTCAAATTTAAGTTGTCAGTCTCATTAACTGTCTTATCTGGTATTGACGAGATATTCGGTGGCACTGCAATCAAACAACGGAAACGTAAGAGGAAAATTGAAGGTGTAGGTCTACTTTCAAGCAACAACCAAACCTTCAATGATTTGACTATTTAAAAAGTACCTCAAACTGCAGAAAACGTAAGATAAAATACGGAAGAGTCAAATGGTAGCACGGGTGGGAAAAGCTGCAGAAGATTAAGACAGTTTCAGCTAAACTTTACTTCATGAAAGGCAGCGAGCTTTATTTCAAATCCGTTCATCCACTATTAGAAAACTAGAGGCTGGATACGTACAAAATGCCGTTTAAAAATCATACAAGAAACACAGTCATGCAGTTACATACGAAAAAGGACTACCGCAAGAGGAAGCGAATACTCTCTAAAATTCCTTGTCATCAACCCCCAAAAAATTATTACAAATTTGAACAACTACATAAAAGAGTTCACCCTGCGAGCACAGCCTGAGCCATTTCTTAATTATGGATGAGATTTTAAGGAGGCCCTGCCTGAATCGTGTCAAACCTTTGAAGTCACCGCATCCCGAACTTCTGCAAAAGTCAATCTTGTTTTCTGGCTTTTTCAAGTGCAAGCATTCGCTTACTGATAAACCGATGGTCATAACTAAGATCTTACTCGATTCAAGCAGAGTCTTTCTCAAGTGTGGCTTGTTTATAGAGTGTTTTCACTCAAGTTGCCAGCATCTATCCACATTTATTGGAACAAAAGAAAGCGTTTACATAAGAGAAGAGTTCAACTCCCACAGGACTGGTTTGGGACACAAACATGGCCGTCGTTTCATTGTTTTGGGACACAAATATGGCCGCCATGACGTCATGTAAAAACACACAATAGTGGAAAGTGCACTTAGCTTATCCACTCAAATACTTAGAAACAAATAATTCAAATACAACATAACAGGATTAAGGCAACCAGTTGGCTATTTACAAGCGCCGCCGAGGATTTGAACTCGGGACGACCAAGGACAAATCCAAAGTCGCCAGAGAGGGACTGAAACCCGGAACGTCCGCATTGCGAGTCTGACGCGCTGACCAAACGGCCAAAGCTAGTAAAATAAAAGAAAGGCTCTGCTGGCAGGGTTAAAAGAGGTGGAGATGAAAAAACGAAATCCATGATTACCATTAACGGTGATGGAAACACTCGGGCTTTCCGAACTTCCCACAGAGTTGTTTGCCACACATTTGTACATCGATAGTCCGCTGTTTGACAGTGTTTTAGTCCACATTCCTGAGTTGCTTTCCCCAACATCAGTGCCATTTCGAAACAACTGATATGAAGTCACCTCTGGATTAGCATCAACTACTGAACAAGTAAGTTCCAAGATGACATTCTGGCATGCTTTGTTTGCACTGGCGTTTGTTGTCAGCTGGACGTTCTCTGGCTTGTCTATAAGAAAAAAAAATTATATTAAATTTACAAAGTTCAATCAATCATTAATGTGGCATGATAGCTCGGAAAAAAAACAAAACGTTGGCCAAAAGACGCCATTAACTTGTATATTATTATGGGAGTTTCTCCCAAAACAGTATAACATACGTATATGTAAGATAAAAAAAAACGGAAACAATAATCAGACAACCATCAAAGACACTATAACTTTAATGCTACTCTTAAGCCGTTGGTTCGCTTAATTGTACTGCCATCGCAGTCCATGTAATACGGTGAACATCAGACAAAACGTTATGCTAATTTCAAAAAAATTCCCCTAATAAAACAGCTCATAAAAACTTGCGAGTCTTTAGTCAGAAAGCCGGTCCTGTAAACCAAAAAAGGTCCACAAATAATCCATAAGACAGTGAAAAAAAAACGTCAAACCTGGATTAATGCTCAATGGATTTTGGAGAACAGGGCAATCAAATTTCGTCTAAGTCACGTTCAATTCGATGCAAAATTTATGAAAGGCGTTAAGTGCTCCGCCATTCCCTAAACAACGCCTTGTGTAAAGTGTTTGTTTTTTAGAAGGGAAAAAGAACTAAACAGACCATGTCAATGTGATGTCAATCTAACAACTGGTACTCAGGCTCTCTCTCTTCTTCCCCCGAACGCGACGCTATCAACGGCTCAAAACACATGCTCGTACTGTACACTAAGACTGACTGAAAGCTTAACAGGGAGCTTAAGCAATGACGATAGCGATGGCAACGACAACGAGAACAGTAACAGACCAATAGGTGGTTTCATGCAATCTCGGGAGACACAAATAACAATGGTGAAATGAACAAATGCTAGTGGACAAACAAATCGAGCAAATGAGCGATCTTTTGTTTACCGTCCACCAGCATGGCGGCGATGTCGTAACGTGAAATCCATCTATATAGGATAAGATGATCAAAACAACAGCTTTACACGTGATTCACACATTCTTTTCTTACTTTCCTTCTTTCTTTCTTTTTTTTTACATTTCTTGACCTTCGCTGCACGACTACGACGTGAAAATTCGTAATTTAACGTCTTATGAGGGGACGTGATCAAAACAAAACGATTTTTTTCTGAACTTAGATATAGTCCAAAGACGTCAAATCAAGAAAAACTGACAACATTTGACAAATTGAACATAGCGGAATAATAACGATGATGTTTGAAAGAGGACCAGTTTACTTTTTAAGTGACGTTTTTGCCATCGTCGCCGACGTGATTGCCAAGGCCCCCTTAACGATATGGCTGAATTTGGTGAACTCCGTTCATTACTTACACTGCACATCAATGTTTTGCGCCTCTGATGCATTACGACACTCATTGCTGGCTTCACATCTGTAGTCTCTAGCTTCACTCCTGCTAATATTGGTGATTTGTAACACACTAACATCAAAGCGTTGACGAGTGCTGATTCTCACCCATGACACGACTGGCGGAGGAGTACCAGATACATTACAAGACAGATTCAAGTTACCACCTTCAGTTATTGTCTTGTTTTGCAAAGGGTGGACAGTTGATGGCACTGGGGTGAAAAATGAAAATGAAAGTAAAAAATAGAAACACCAAACGCTGTTTCTATTGATTGACGATATAGTTTGGGACATTAAGATTTTAACTGCAAGCACAGATACTAAAGCTGTATGCGCTACAGAAGCCTGACTGAAGAACTCTTTTTAAGGGACATTTGGATTGAAAATGCAAATGAAATTCTGCAGCTGTTTGTCCAGGAGAGGCGAGTTGTTCAAAGCTGGGTTTAGTGTAAAAATTTGAATTCAGATATGAAAGCTTAAAAAGCAAATTCAGTTTAATTTTTTTGTCTACAATTTGATTATTGGATATTCCAAAAATTAAAAGAGAAAATTATCCAAGAAAATACTTTTGATTAGCCGGGGTTAAATTTAACCCCAGGTAAGCGATAATCGGCCTTCAAACAACTGGGCCCAGAAAAGTTTCGGGAGAACTGGCGGAAAAGTGACTGCACATGTGAGTACTACAGCAGCATGTACTGTGCTTCAGATACAAACCAACTGACACTACTCGTACCCTTTAAAGGAGTCCATCCCCTGGTCAGAAACATAAGAGTATGAGTTCTAAGGAAAGAATTAGAATAATCGCACGAGAATAGCAAACAAGTACACGTCTCATCTCGCATCTAGTTGCACTTCCTCGGGTATCACCCAAAATGCCATCACTTTTAGAACACTTTAGTTGCTTAAAAAAGTCGAAACCATGAGGGGAATCTTCCAGGAAAAAGTTTACACGCATTTATAATTTAATCAAGAAAATTTATCGCTTACAGCCTCTCAGTTATGACATGTGTACGCCCATGATGTCACTGATGTTCTTCATTAAACGCTGATGTAGCAGAAAATAATACAGGGAACATAGGGATCAGACCGTGCACAACTAGAATCAGTCAAATCATTCTTAAGTGTTAACATGAGTACCAACGTATTATAACAGTCTCACTTACCATTAACAGTAATGGAAACAGTTGCGCTGCTTGTTGATCCAATGGAATTGTTAGCTACACATTTGTAGGCAAACACACCACCTTCTGATAGGGGTTTTGCCCACATTCCTGAGTCACTTGTCTCCATGGGAACGTTATCTTTGAACAACTGGAATGACACTGCAGATGGAACAGCATCAGCTGAGCACATGAAGCTTACAACATCATTCTGACAGGCTTTACTTGCCGTGGCGTTTGTCATCAATTGGACATTTTCTGGTGGATCTAAAATGGAGTAAAGTAGAGTACAGTGGGCTATTAGTAAAGGCAGTAAAACTTCCTAGCAAAAACATTTTTTTCTGCTTCGACACTTCAAAATAGAGTGGAATTAACCTCCATTCTTGTGAGATCAACCTGTCGGACTTGAAACTTCTGGGTGTGGTCAAATATCAGTTTTCGTAGCTTAACATACACTTTTATTCAGACAGATAAGACAATCAATCCAAGGCAATCTATCTTGAAAACAATGCTGCTAACTTGTAACCAGAATGGCTCATAAAATGTGGAGTGTTTTCAGGGGCGTAGCCAGGAATTTTCCAGAGGTACGCACAATTTTCTAAGTATATCATTCAAGATTCAGTCCACCAATGAATCACATCGCTTCTCTGGAAACGAACATTCAGTTGTAAAACAAACAGTTTGATGTTTCAGAAAAAATATTTATATTTAAAAGGAACGAGCAGAATTAAATGATTTGAGAAAAAAATGTGCTTTTTAAAAATGTTTATTTTTTTGTTATTTACTTCCTCGTGGCTTCATACCCCCCGATAAACACAACCCGCGAGTTTATTGAACGACTTCAAAGACATTCCTGGAAAAGCGTGTCTCAAAGGTGCTGATAATAATGACGCTTTTGTGAACGTTGGAAATTAGAATACGTAAAAGACATTAGGTATGAAATTATCATGCAAGAAAATCAAATCTCACACGTAGCTACACGTGTTTAGAAATTTTCCAGTCTACGAACAACACTAACCGAAGAGGACCTGGCGTCTTGTTCCAGAGCTTTTCAGAAGTTTGTTGTTGGTTCTCTCCTTTGCTCCGAGAGGTTTTCCTCCGGGTACCCCGGTTTTCCCCTCTCCTCAAAAATTCAACATTTCCAAATTTCAATTCGACCAGGAATCAGGTAGACGAAGAACCACTTTGTGGATAGGCTACCTCCAAATCATTATTTATTTATTTATTTATCAGCCTAAAAATGCCGAGGAAGAGAGGAACTTAGCGGAAAATGGTACCCGAAAGTCAACAAGTGCAGTGAAAAGTTAGTCTTTCGTTTGAAAATATTATTCTGGAATGGCCGAATGGTAGGTAAACAAGAATACGGTACTCGAAGTCTTAAGTGCAACGCCCTGACACTGCCATAGCCAACATTACTGCTGAGTCACTGGCCTTTGGCTAATTAAATTGGTGAAAGAACAAAGTTTAATATTGTGCAATAGTAAATTCAGTGCGTGTGTTATTTTGAAAGAAAATAAAATATTCACCCACCATTTGTTGTGTCACTTGCTGTGCTGAGATTAATATTCATAGGTCACGTGCAGTGACATTGAGCGCTTACGATTTGAAAGGAAATTTTAGTAAAAAATGTCTGACAAATGGTACTGGACATGAAAACGTTTCCGAAAAGAGGAATGGGTTAGAGTTGTACCATTTGCAAAACACCAGGGGCCGGTTGCTCGAAGCCTGGCTAACGCTAACTGTTGGTTAAGAGGTATCAAAATGTTTGGTTTCCATGGTATTTACCGCTGGTTAGCACTAACCATGCTTCGAGCAACCCGGGCCAGATGAAGAGTGGGCCTGGGTTAAAACAAATCATCTTCCGCCTCAAGAGGAAGCCTGGCACTGGTTAACCAAACAAATGGTACAAAATTTCGGCCGTTTCGGTAAAAGCGGGAAAAAGGTAATACCTCGAAAGGAATTACTGTTTTTTCCGGAAAATTTCCACCGGAATCAGCATTTCCATTTGAATTCTCCCCGGAATTACCGCGTTTTCCATAGAAATGGTAAGCGCTCATTGTATCTGATAAAACACCGTATACTAATAAAGGGAGGTTTTATCAGATATAATGTCACTGCACGTGATGTATAACCGGGGTTTAAAACACGAGCACGTGACGGATTTTGCCGAGCGTGATAGGTTGTTGAGCTCATGAATCATTAATGCATTTTGGAAGCAACTTTACTAGCTGTGAATGGGGTTTTCTTTTAATTTTTCAGAGCACAAAAAGGTTCTGCCCAACCCATCACTTGCTATAACCAATGCAATGTCTTCTGCAAACTCTACTTACACTGCACAGTAACATTAACAGCCACTGATGCACTCCCACACTCATTGCTAGCTTCACATCTGTATTCTCCAGCTTCACTTCTGTTAATGTTGGTAAACTCCAGTACACTGCTGTTAGTCCGCTGACCACTGGCAACATTAACCCAAAACACCGTCGGCTGAGGGGTCCCAGATGCATTACAAACCAGACTTGTGTTGTGACTTTCAATAACAAACTGATCTTCGATTGACTGGATGGATGCAGGCACTGCAATCAAATTATATTAAGCTTTTATTGTGTCTTGCACAGAAATCAAAGGACTTTTCAAGATTTCTCCCTAAAATTCAAGGACTTCTCAAGATGGTGCAAACCCTGTGAACTGCAAGCACTACAGCAGAATTCACTGCTTCAGATACAAACCAACTGACACTGCACATGCCCCTCAAGAGTGTGAGTTCTAATGGAAAAATTAGAATAACCCACTCGACAAAGCAAAATCTGTAAGTACTCAATGCACCTTGCATCCACACGCAGCTACTACGGTTTACTCAAAATGTTATCACACTTTAGTCAGTAGTGTATTTACATGTTAAAGAGTCAACACCCCAAGTAAAAAGTTTACAAGCATTTACTTACTCAAGAAATTTTTTTTCATACAGTTTCTCAGTCATTACAATCATTACAGTGAACATAGAGTTCAGACTGTGTGTCAACAGAATCAGCCAAATCATTCTTAAATGCACGGTAAAACAGCCGACAAAAAAAACATACAACTTGTCTTGCAACATTCCTGCAAAACGAGTTGAGTAGCGATGTTGCGCATTTTGACCCACATCGAACCTGTCTTTTAACGAATCAGGTTGTTAACAGGTTTGAACTTGGGTGGTAAACGTGCAACATCGCTTTTGCAGCAATGTTGCAAAGCAAGTTGCACATTTTTCTTACCTGTTTTACTGACTCTTAAGTGTTAACATGAGTACATGTGTGTCTCACTTACCATTAACAGTAATGGAAACAGTTGCGCTGCTTGTTGATCCAATGGAATTGTTAGCTACACATTTGTAGGCAAACACACCACCTTCTGATAGAGGTTTTGCCCACATTCCTGAGTCACTGGTCTCCATGGGAACGTTATCTTTGAACAACTGGAATGACATTGCAGATGGAACAGCATCAGCTGAGCACATGAAGCTTACAACATCATTCTGACAGGCTTTACTTGCAGTGGCGTTTGTCATCAATTGGACATTTTCTGGTGGATCTAAAATGGAGTAAAAACCCATATAAAAAGTATTATTAAAGAAATAAAACGTCTCAGGGTACAGACAGCAGTGGGCTATCTGAAAAGGCAGTAAAAACTCCTGCAAATCATTGTTTTCTGCTTTGACACTTCAAAATACAGTGGAATGACTTCCATACTTGTAAGATCCACCTGTGGGACTTGAAATGTTGACTGCTCACTTCCGGGTGTGGTCAAATATCAGTTTTAGTAGCTAGTTTAACACACATTTTTATTCAGACAAATAAGACAATCCATGTAAGCTAGCAATCTATCTTGTAAACAATGCTGTTAACTTGTCACTAGAATGGCACAAAATGTGACATTCAGTGTACAGTGTTGCTTACAATAATTTTTTCTCGTATCCTGTGTACAGTATTTCGTTGATGCACATCTAACATTGATTATCAACTGTTACTTACACAAATGAGGTTTCTGCAGTCTAATAATTATCATGGTATCTGTACTGCCTTCCACCTTGGCATTGTAAAATGTTGGGATTATCCTACAGTGCTGACATAGCGCTAGCATCATTATAATTGTTGAAGCTTTATTTGCTGTAAAGGGTGTTTCTTTTAATTTTTCAGAACACAAAAAGGTTCTGCTCAACCCATCACTTGCTATAACCAATGCAATGTCTTCTGCAAACTCTACTTACATTGCACAGTAATATTAACAGCCTCTGATGCACTCCCACACTCATTGCTAGCTTCACATCTGTATTCTCCAGCTTCACTTCTGTTAATGTTGGTAAACTCCAGTACACTGCTGTTAGTCTGCTGACCACTGGCAACATTAATCCAAGACACCGTCGGCTGAGGGGTCCCAGATGCATTACAAAACACACTTGCATTGTGACTTTCAATAAAAAACTGATCTTCGATAGACTGGATGGATGCAGGCACTGCAATCAAATTACATTAAGCTTTTACTGTGTCTTGCACAGAAATCAAAGGACTTTCAAGGATTCTGCCTAAAATTCAAGGACTTCTCAAGATGGCACAAACCCTGTAAACTGCAAGCACTACAGCAGCATTCACTGTGCTTCAGATACAAACCAACTGACACTGCACATGCCCCTCAAGAGTGTGAGTTCTAATGGAAAAATTAGAATAACCCACTCGACAAAGCAAAATTTGTTAGTACTCATTCAGGGTTAGACAAAAATTTGTGAACTTCACTTGTCCAGTGGACAGGTGAGGTTCTAGCTGTACTTGTCCAAAGCACAGGTCTAGTTGTCCTTGCATGTTGAGTTAAATCCAAGATCTAATGATGCATGGTAATGGCAAGAAGCATGAGCCTGTTTATTGTTGAAACTCAGAGAAAACATACAACATTTTAAGTGTTAAGAAAGTACTCATACAAGTAATTGTATGCTTTTATATGGTGGTGTCATTCGCACCGTTTACGACCCAGCAGGGAAAGATTTCTGTCCAAGATTCCTGAAACGGCTTTCGCACTCGTACCATTGGGCTGTCACAATGTTTCTTTTCAATCACCCCAGTGTTTTCTGCAGAAGGATTTCCTTTCCTCTTCTGCTGCTTCACTAGGGCACCAAAATAACCTCTTATGCTTCACTGAGCCACCATTGTGTACGAGCTTACAGTTAACCAAGAGTGTCTATTATAAATGCAAAAGTCGATCCCCCGAAGAGTGCCAGGCCCCTTTCAGTGCGCAATGAAATAAAATGGTGGATAGATCGCACGTCACCTGCATCAGTGCTGTTCCCTTTTCATTTCTAACTAGTAAGTTGCTTTCAGGAAAAGCAAAGCAGTTTTATGCTTGCAAAAACCTGGCTGTATACTTTACATTTCACTGAAACATGTTAAAAGCACCTTTTTGTTTAAATGTATTTTCTGAGGATTTACTTGTCCAAAGGACAAGTAAGGTTGATGACCTACTTGTCCACTGATCAAAACCACTTGTCTGGGGCAAGTGGACACTGTTTTTGTCGCACCCTGTCATTGCACTTTGCATCCACATGTAGCTACTACGGTTTACTCAAAATGTCATCACACTTTAGTTAGTGGTTACTTGCATGTAAAAGAGTCGACACCCCAAGTGGTATCTTCCAGGAACAAGTTTACAAGCATCCACTTAATTAAGAAAATTTTTTTCATACAGTTTCTCAGTCATTACAATCATAACAGTGAACATAGAGTTCAGACTGTGTGTCAGTAGAATCAGCCAAATCATTCTTAAATGCACGGTAAAACAGCCGACCAAAAAACATACAACTTGTCTTGCAACATTGCTGCAAAACGAGTTGAGTAGCAATGTTGCACATTTTGACCAACAGCGAACCTGTCTTTTCACATATCAGGTTGTTAACAGGTTTGAACTTGGGTGGTAAACGTGCAACATTGCTTTTGCAGCAATGTTGCAAAGCAAGTTGCATATTTGTCTTACCCATTTTACTGACGCTTAAGTGTTTAAACGTGAGTATGTGTGAGCCTCACTTACCATTAACAGTAATGGAAACAGTTGTGCTACTTGTTGATCCAATGGAATTGTTAGCTACACATTTGTAGGCAAACCCACCACCTTCTGATAGGGGTTTTGTCCACATTCCTGAGTCACTTGTCTCCATGGGAACGTTATCTTTGAACAACTGGAATGACATTGCAGATGGAACAGCATCAGCTGAGCACATGAAGCTTACAACATCATTCTGACAGGCTTTACTTGCCGTGGCGTTTGTCGTCAAATGGACATTTTCTGGTGGATCTAAAATGGAGTAAAAACCCATATGAAAAGTATTATTAAAGAAATAAAACGTCTCAGGGTACAGACAGCAGTGGGCTATCTGAAAAGGCAGAAAAAACTCCTGCAAAAACATTTTTTTTCTGCTTCGACGCTTCAAAATACAGTAGAATGACCTCCATACTTGTAAGATCCACCTAGAGGACTTGAAATATTGACTACTTACTTCTGGGTGTGGTCAAATATCAGTTTTAGCTTAACATACATTTTCATTCAGACAAATAAGACAATCCATGTAAGCTAGGCAATCTATCTTGTAAACAATGCTGTTAACTTGTAACTACAATGGCACATAAAAAGTGACATTCAGTGTACAGTATTGCTTACAATAAATTTTTTCCTCTATCCTGTGTACAGTATTTCTTTGATGCATATCTAATATTGATTATCAACTATTAATTACACAAATGAGGTTTCTGCACTCTAATACTATCGTGCTATCTGTACTGCCTTCCACCTTGGCATTGTAAAATGTTGGGATCATCCTACAGTGCTGACATAGCGCTAGCATCATTATAATATTGTTGAAACTTTATTTGCTGTCAAGGGTGTTTCTTTTAATTTTTCAGAACACAAAAAGGTTCTGCTCAACCCATCACTTGCTATAACCAATGCAATGTCTTCTGCAAACTCTACTTACATTGCACAGTGACATTAACAGCCTCTGATGCACTCCCACACTCATTGCTAGCTTCACATCTGTATTCGCCAGCTTCACTTCTGTTAATGTTGGTAAACTCCAGTACACTGCTGTTAGTCCGCTGACCACTGGCCACATTAATCCAAAACACCATCGGCTGAGGGGTCCCAGATGCATTACAAGACAGATTTGTGTTGTGACTTTCAATAAAAACCTGATCTTCGATTGACTGGATGGATGCAGGCACTGCAATCAAATTACATTAAGCTTTGTTGTGTCTTGCACAGAAATGAAAGGACTTTTCAAGGACTATCCCTAACATTCAAGGACTTCTCAAAATGGAGCTAAACCTGTGAACTGCAAGCCCTACTTTGTTTACTCAAAATGTCATCACTCTTTAGTTAGTAGTTGTTTACATGAAAAAGAGTCAACACCCAGCGCACGAAGTTGCGCCTGATACAGTCGCCAATACGCCTAAGTTTACCGTGCTGGCGACCAAGATTCAATAGTTAGTCACCATGTTGGCAACCAGAACTCTTCAGGTTCCATACATCCTACTTTTATGTACTGGGCAATTTTATAAAGCTTGAAGGTAGATGAATTGGTATGAACGACTAAGGTTTGTAGCAAAATCGTCACGATCTCTAAGAAGTGAACATATGTCAACGTCTGCCATCTTGCATTTTCCAAAAGTAACATTGTATATTGCAGATTGAAATGTCCCTTTTGCGTGGGCTCACAACATTCCATACTTTTCTGATTCCATGTGCTCTCACTTAGCTTTATTATGGAGTGAATTCCAGTGTTTCAGTTGTTGGCAGAAATGGCAATTGGTGTTGTTAGTAAGGTACCTGGAACACTAAATCCATTAAGCAATGGCTTGGAAATAAAATAGCATGATTATCATTATAGTTCAGATAACTCGGGTAGATGCTGAAACAAACAAAAAAGGATCTTTTTATTTTATTCTGGTAGTTGCTGGAAAAACACAACTTGTTACTATTTTGTATTTGTAGTAAAGTAATGTTCCTATACCGACGTTTGTTTACCAAGGAGCCTCTGACTTGGATATGTTTTTATGATTACTCATCCTGACTAAGTCATTGAGTGCTGTGACTTTTTCATCCTTGGCTACTAAATCAATTAGATTTTGTAAGCAAGGCAAGAATGAACTACTGCAAATACATTGATTAATATCATAGGTGACGAATTACTCCTTAATTTTGGCACAAAATTTCGGCAATAATTTGTAATTTCACATGACTGTGAAATTATATACACAATTGCCATGGCAACCTTTGGTACGTCTCAGTGCCAAGATGGCAACGAAGTTTTTAAATGTCATGAATGAAGATGCCAGGGAATAAAAAGACACTTTAGAAAACCTGAACAAATGAAAGAGCACATCAAGAAAGATTCTAACAGGTATTCTGTCGAAAAATTGTGAACTTAAGCCAAATTTAAGCTCTAAACATTAGAGAGAGTGGAGTTCTCGATCGATACCGTCCAGGATAAGCATCTAAAAATCCAACATTGCTAACATAACTCGTAACCCATGATATATATACTGGTATTCAAATGGTATACTCGTCAAATTTGGGAATAATTTCACTTGTGTTTTGTCCAAAACCTTATAATCCTCATTAGGAATTGGACAAAACGCACGTGAGATCATTCCCTAATTTCACTCGTCACCATTTGATTACACATACATATTTATGGAGATACATGACAAGTTGATATTTATGAAAGGCACATGTCTGGTTTTTCCGATTGTGATGATAGCTACTGTCACATTATTATGTTGTCCAGTAAGATACTTCATAAAGTTCATATTAGAAACAATAGTTCAGGGAATTGTCAACTTGAGTTTCCGAAATTCAGTTTGAAAGATCTTTATGAATTTAGGCTGACTTCCTGGCATACATGTATTTGTGGCTGATATTACACTTTTACATGTAATCTAATGCTAGTCTTTGAGATAAGTGGACATTCATGATATTCAGATTGGATGGTCTGTGATGGAAAACAGAATAAATCCAACAAATGATAACCTTACCATAAAAGTTTGGTAATGTTCGTATCTGTTTGTTCTTGATTAAGTACGTAACCAGAATTGTTGTTTGCTATTCTTTAGAGATATGAACAAAAACGTTCAGGTATTCCTAAAGCTAGAAATTAACCTTGCAATTTGCCATTATCCCTTGTAGAACCAGACAAATGCAAAACCTATGCTCATGCTATTGATTTACTATGTTGGACTATGTTTCAGCTATGTTATGTGCACTACTACCTATGGAGTAACTATGTAACATACCAGATAACATAGTCCAAAGAAAAATCTATGTTGAAACTATGTTTAGGCTATTTGAAAAGTACATAGCTTTTTAATACCTATGCAAATACTATTCAAAATCTTTTCATAGTCTTGACATAGCTATGTATTTACTATGCAATAGAAAGTTCTGCTTTTCTGTCGAATTTGCATCCTATGTATTCACTAAGCATCAAAGTAAAATAGCTTTTACATAGCATCTTGATGTTCACTTTTATTTCCAACAATATTCTTAGCTTTTACATAGTGCTATGTACATTGGCAGAGCTCCGGCTCCCAAAGCGCGCCAGCGGAGCACCATGGGTAAGAAAATTTGGTAAACCATCCATCCCAGAAAATTTGGTTATGACGTAGCGTACGCCCATACACTCTTTGCGGGGGAGGGAAGGGAAGGAAGGGAATCAGGTGTCAGCCAGTCCGGGGGAGGAGTATGTTATAAATCGCGCGATGCATTTGTGCAACCCGCCTTTTTCTTGGTGGGAAATTGCGCAAGAAATGGCATGGCTGCATGTCGTCGCGTTCAAAAACAATTAACACGTCATCTTTAACTACTTCATTGCATAAGGATTTTCCGACGGTAGTGCCCAGTTTCTAGTAAAGTATTTCAAAAAAATTGTTATGGCAACAAACAATAGCGGATTGAATTCAAACTATTTGCTTGTAAGAAAAGCGACGGGAAAGAGAAAGAAGAGAAAGGCATAGAGTAAGAATTAACAGGTGCGCTAGCGAAGAGGATTCAAGTGGAAAATTTATGCAGCATCTGAGACTTGTTCACTGACAGAGTTTTGAGTCATCTTGCGATGTTTTAACTTGTCTTTTTGCACTGGATCTAAAAAATGAAATACAGCAGCTATCAACATTCTTTTGTTATTCTTGGCTGGCTTGTTTACTGGGTTGTGGTTGAAAAATGTGCCGCACGACAAAAAGAAATCGGGAATCATCGTTTTCAAAAATAGCTACTCTTAGTAAGCTTACTTCGCCTTGCTGGACTATGCGAAAAATCTTAAGCGATTCTGGCCTTACTTGATGGGTTTCCATGCTGCATCTCGACTGGTAAGCTTGAGAAATTTTATTGCATTTTACGTGTTTTCTTTTTCCATGTTTATGCCATCATTTTACACACATTTGTAAGACTTGAGACAATTTATCTGACCTAGTAAAGAACTTAAAAAATCTTTAGACATTTTCTGACCACGACTGGAAGAAAAAGTTCTGAAAAGTAGTTTAGTTATCCTATTGTTTGTAAAAAGAAAGCTTTGAGCGATATTCTTGCCTGGAGTTCATCTTGCAAAATAGCAAACACGGCGAAGGGGGCTTAAAACTTAAGGCTCAAATCTGCTAGGTTTTATTCGTGACTCAGGATTTTCGGACAGACTTTACCCTCAAAAGACGTCTTCGGGAATAAAAATTGTTGATCTTTAAGTAATGAGCCGGGTAAGGTGGATAGCAATTTCTTTTGTGAAATTGTGCTTTCCCCACATAGGAATGTTCTCACTTTTACAAAGAGAATGCATAAACCTACATGAAGGCCGTTTACGCAATAAAATACATTTACACTCCCCTTTGAAAGAGTGTTTTTTTGTGTTAAAAGATTTTGACCAATCACAAGAGTTGAAAACAATAGCCAAGAAAAGTTTACAACTTTACATGTTCCCCACATAGGATTTCTTTGTTATTCAAACTGAGACCAGATTTTGTTATATGGAAGATGGTTGGAAAGTAAGGATGAATATATGTACCGCTTCATGAAGTTTTGTTAACTTTTGCTCTTTAAGCCAATCAGAAGTAAGTACAGACAATAGAAAAGTTAGCACCTTTTTTGCATTCCAAGATGTTCATTGCCGTTGTTGCTATCGTTCTTATCTGGACCGTTTCTTAAATGTTTCTTTGTATAATATTCAATATATATAATTATATTATGTGCCAGTTGCTTTTGACTTTTCTCACCAAGGTTACGCGTTGGTCACGCTCTACGCCCAATGTTTATGCGCTGATTGGTCAAAACTTGACAGGTGAGTTCATGTGGAAAATTTATGCAGCATCTTGAAACTTGTTTACTTTGACAGCTGAAGCTGACAGAGTTTTGTCTCAACTTGTGATGTTTTTAACTGTCTTTCTCCACTGAATGTACAAAAATGAAATTCAGCTGCTATCAAGAGTCTTCTGTTATTCATGGCTAGTTTGTTTATTGGGTTTTTGGTTGAGAAATATGTCACTTGTCAAAGTCGGAAATCTGATTTCGGATGGCATCGTTTTCGTTTTTCACCTTGCTTGATGTGTAAGAGGGTTGCAAAGTCTGAGGCGATTCTGGCCTTACTTGATAGTTTTCAGTGCATCTCGAATGGTAAGCCTGAGTAATTATTTTATTTGATGGGTTTTTTTTTATATCTAATTTAATGAAGTCGAGTGTAGTTTATGGAGCTATTTAGTTTCAGCACATTTGTAAGATTTGAGACAATGATCTGGCCGAGTATCAGGTTTGATAAGCGTATAGAACTTTAAAAAGCCTTCAGACATTTTCTCACCGCAAATAGAAAGAAAACGTTCCAAAGAATATTTATTTTATAATTCTGGATGTAAAAGAAAGCTTTGAGCAATTTTCTTGCCTCGAGTTCATCTTTGAAAAAGGCAAAGACCGGGAAGCCGGCTTTAAACAAAAACAAGGATTTTCACAGACACTTTAATACTAATGTCTTTGTGAATGGTTAAAGCAATGTATGACTCATTAACATAGGTTTTACATAGCTTTGTGACATAGCATCTGCATAGATTCTACATAGTGTCTGATTCTACAAGGGATTGTATAATACATTTTTCATATAGCTTTTTTGTTGTTGTTGTTTCTGAAAAAAAAATTGGCTACTAACTTTTTGGACTTTTGGCGACCACTTTCGAAAATTTAGGAGCCAGATGTCTCCTTGAGAAAAAAGTTAATTTCGTGCCCTGACACCCAAAGTGGTATCTTCCAGGAACAAGTTTACAAGCATCTACTTAATTAAGAAAATTTATTTAATACATTTTGTCAGTTAAGACATGTGTGCTCTCATGATGTCATTGAAGTTCTTCATTTAAATGCTGATGTGTACCAGAATATTAAATTAAACAATCATTACACTGGACATAGAGTCCAGACCGTGTGTCAATAGAATCAGTCAAATCATTCTTAAAGGCACGGTAAAACGGGCAACAAAAAAACATACAACTTGCCTTGCAACATTGCTGCAAAACGAGTTGAGTAGTGATGTTGTATGTTTTACCACTAACAGCAAACCTGTCTTTCAACAAATCAGGTTGTTAAGAGGTTTGAACTTGGATGCTAAATGCGTAACATTGTTTTTCAAGCAATGTTGAAAACCAAGTTGAACATTTTTGTTACCTGTTTTACCGACGCGAGTGTTAATGTGAGTAGCTGTCGGTCTCACTTACCATTAACAGTAATGGAAACAGTTGCGCTGCTTGTTGATCCAATGGAATTGTTAGCTACACATTTGTAGGCAAACACACCACCTTCTGATAGGGGTTTTGTCCACATTCCTGAGTCACTTGTCTCCATGGGAACGTTATCTTTGAACAACTGGAATGACATTGCAGATGGAACAGCATCAGCTGAGCACATGAAGCTGACAACATCATTCTGACAGGCTTTACTTGCAGTGGCGTTTGTCATCAATTGGACATTTTCTGGTGGATCTAAAATGGAGTAAAAACCCATATGAAAAGTATTATTTTAAGAAAAAAAGCGTCTCAGGGTACAGACAGAAGTGGGCTATTTGTAAAGGTAGTAAAAACTCTTCCAAAAACATTCATTCTGCTTCAACACTTCAAAACACAGTAGATTTAACCTCCATACTTGTAAGATTCACCTGTAGGACTTGAAATACTGTACTTACTTCCGCATGTGGTCAAATTTCAGTTTCATTAGCTGAACATACAACATTATTTTTATTAAAGCAAATAAGACTAATATCAATGCAAGGCAATCTATCTTAACTTAACAATAACTAAAATGGCACATAAAATGTGGCATTCAGTGTACAGTACAGCATACGATAAATTTTGTATTCTTCAGTATTCCTTTGAATTTCAACTGTTAATTACACAAATGAGGATTTTGTAGTATAACAATTTATTATCATGGTATCTGTATAAAAAGTATTGCCTTTCCTTACATTGTAAAATGTTGGGATTATCATACAGTGTCAGTATAGCATCACTATTGACTTTTGTTGAAACATAGCTGTTAAGGATTTTTTCAGAGTGAGAAAATTTCCAGCTTGTAATGTAATTGCACAGATAGACCTATGTGATGTCTCATGAAACATCTACTCACACTGCACAGTAACGTTTGCAACCTCTACTACACTCCCACACTCATTGCTAGCTTCACATCTGTATTCTCCAGCTTCACTTCTGTTAATGTTGGTAAACTCCAGTACACTGCTGTTAGTCCGCTGACCACTGGCAACATTAATCCAAAACACCGTCGGCTGAGGGGTCCCAGATACATTACAAAACAGGCTTGTGTTGTGACTTTCAATAATAAACTGATCTCCGATTGACTGGATGGATGAAGGCACTGCAATCAAGTGACATTAAAGATTTAATGCTTTTATTAACTCTCTCTTTTTTAAAAACACCAGTAAGCACAGTGTGTATGACTTATCATCATAAAAAAGCTGTGTTCACTATTTCAGATCTGTGATTACAAACTGGTAGTTAAGTGACAAGGCTGTGAAAAGGAACTCAGAAGCAGGGGATTATCTGCAACCCAACATAATATTAAATTATGGGATCTCAAGATACCACTTGTCATGGAAGACTCAGCATATTTACTACCAACGAAAAGCAATGTTTACCACATAACTACAGTGTAAATTTCACTGCCTACCAGACCATGTTCTGTTGTTATCTAATTTACTAACAAACAAACAAAAAAACCCAGTGAAATTATCTCTTAACAACTTCTTTGCAATCAAAATTAATAAGTAGAGTTGGCAGTATTGACCACTGCTCTGCTACATATACATAAGGGCTGTTTTATTTTGGGGGCACTTGAGATGTCCAGGCTTCCAATCTAGTTAAGTAAGACTCTAGAATCGATGTCTACAAGGCCGAAAATCCCTGCAATTCAGTCATGATCTTAGGCCCATGCAAGGCATCCAGGCACCCATCACACTGATGGGCAGTGGAGGATATAGGGGAAACAGGAGGAGAAGAAATCAAAACAGCGCAAGATTGGTTGGAGAAGCTACAAAATGCCTGTTACAACAAGGCTGAAATGACCCTCTAAAAATGTACTGATGACTCTTATTTTAACACCTTGCCAAAACAACATTCTGTTTAGTAGTGTAATATTACTGAGTCTAGGTGAAAACATTCACTGAATGCACAGAACAACACTGAACAAATTATAAGACTGCAAAATTGACCTTAAATGTAATTTTTTATGCATCAGACAGTCTACAGTGTACTTAAAAAATGTCAGGAAGAATAATGATACACGCACACTGCAACAAGAAGGGAACTGACAAAGAAACAAACAACTTTATACAAACAAACGGGAAAGAAAACAGAACACAGCCTATGTTTTCATGATCATGATTAGACTTACCATTAACAGTAATGGAAACATTCTGGCTGCTTGTTGTTCCTGCAGTATTGTTTGCCACACATTTGTATGTTAAATTACCACTGTTCATCACCATTTTGCTGAGCATTCCTGAGCTGCTACTACCAAACAGAACATCATTCTCAAAAAAGTGATACATTGCAGGTGGGTTTGCATTAGCAGCTGAGCAGTCGAAGGACACAACATCATTCGGACATGCTTTATTAGCAGAGGCATTTGTTGTTAACTGCACATCCTCTGGTTTGACTGAAAAGAGAAGAGATAGACAGGGACACCTTGATATGAAAAGAGTTAACAAATAATACACAATTAATGAATGAGGCAGACTATAACAATAAATTACTATTTTTGTATTAATTTTAGAATAAGAAATGAATTTTTCTTTTATCATGTTGATCAAGGAGGGTGATATCTGTAAAACCTGAAAGCTGATGTGGATAACATTTCCTGGAGATTTGTTCAATCACTTTTTGTATGTTTGTTTGCTTGTGTTCTTTTAATCTTTATTTTTGGACAACATATACATGTAAATCATTTACAGGGTGGGCCAAAACCTACGTCCCATTGTTCAAGACAGGAAGAAAATATTTAGTTCGAACATGTAAACCTCTGACATGACTAAGTCTTGTCTGTGGAACAAGTATATTAAAGAGACTTTGTCTCGGAAAACATCAGTACTCAAGGGAAAACAGAACTAACTGTTTCCTGAGGGACCTGACATTAAGTGTTTTGTTATTATTTCTAGACTTTCACTTCAATGGTAACTGAAGAATAACCGGAGCGAATCAAAACAGTCTACTCGGTACTTGGCTCATATCTGTTATAATTCTTAATGAACTCGGACAAAGTACAAATTTTCCTCATATTATCTGCATCTTTTTCCTCCACTAGTTATATTTAGCTGCTGTTTCTCGTCTGGATAACTTTCAAAATCGTTGCTCTTTCTAGCTTGAGGTTTCAGGTTTGTGTTGTTGTGTTCATTAATGAAAAAGAAAACTGGCAGGGTTTTTCCCGTCTTCTGTCGTGCCACTAACTTCCACCATGCTTCGATCATGTGCTGTAATGTATCCCAAGTGGGGTACAATTGCTCAAATGGGTGTATCACGAACGGGTTATGCATGGACTTCGTACTAAGGATGAATGGAATGCACAGAACGCACTTTAATCCCGCGCATTTGGACCTTCTTTCACTCATTATCTGATCACGCGTGTTTCTCTCAAGTGAAACTTTCTGGCAAAGATAATGAGTAACCACTCCAACAGTAAACTAAACATGGCCGGAGAGCATAATTTCTTCAAAAGCATTTTTTAAATCAAGCAATCAATCGTTGCATCCCAAAGGGTGCAAGACGTCAATTTTTCTGCATCTTTGAGAATTTTTACCTGTCAGGGATGCAGGGGTAACAAAATCACTGGAGCATACCAATTCACTGACTTAGGCTATCAAAGGCTATTATGCCACTAAAGATTCAGTAATCAGCATTTTTACACTGTCTATATTCAGAAGGATTTCATTTGAATAGTTTTAGGCTCATTGGATGACTATTTTTGTTGTGGGTTAAAATTAATTTGTTCTCCACCTACAGGTACTTGGATAAAAAACAATATTCCACCTTTGTTACCAGAATGAGAGTGATAGCAAAAAGCTAACCCTAGTAGATTTTACATCTACATATTCATGTAGGTGGCTTCTATATTGGTCTATTTTGGGAATAGATTGTACCAACAACTAACTTGATTATTTATTAAATTCTTTTGCACATGTTGTCGTTCAAATTGTTCTTTTTTTGGTTAAAAAAATTAAACTCAGCATGATATTTGTGGATTGTAATGGTAATAAGACATTACAAAGCTGGTTTGAATTTTTTATACCAATGGACCACTACAAATCTGCTTCATCAAAAAAAATTAAGAAGTGTCTTGTAAAAAAACATTGGACTATAACATGTATGAGAAATCAAGACTTGTAGACTTTTTATATGTTTTGATGATTTATCAGCATAATGAACCTTTTAAAATTATTGGCATTTTGTTATTAATAATATGCTTTCATTGACCTCTTGCAAAGGAAGATTATTGACCCAGAAATGATGCTATTCAATTGCCAGTAATTTTTGTTAACACAAAAGCATAGAATTCTTGCTTTCTAGAAACATCCACAGCACTCTGTCTGCAATCAACCACTAATTATTATTTTTTAATTGAGGTGTTTGCACAGTTTATAATTTTAGAGTATACTCCACAATTCACAAACAGATTTCTCTTGTTTTTTTTTTATGCTCTTGATCAGAATAATCATAAATCTTATTGATTTTATTGTTTTAAAATTAAAACATTTTATTTTTGGTTAATTTTGTAACTTTGCCATTAATTAATGAAGCAGGGTTGATTTTGTGAGGAGAAATTAGACAACAGTCATAACTGCAGGATAAGTAATACATTAAATAAGTAACTATTGCTTTCTAAAAGCCAAAACTTGATAGCTAAAATATTCTTAGCTTTTAGCTTTAGTGTAAAATATAATATTTACACCACAATATCAAGGAACGAGTGCATGCATAAACAAAAAAGGCGAATAGATGAAGTATGACTTAGCAGCAAAATCCCATTTTTGTACTGTCAAAGTAAGAGATAAAGAAAGCTCTAATGATATTATCAAAACCAGCCCAAACATTCTCTATTAATTTTATGGCTTTTAGTTCTAATAATCATTTTATTGAATAATTTTGCCTCTACAAAATGCATTTATAGTCTTAAACAAAATCTGTCATCCTTCACTGCATACATGGAATGAAGACAAATTAGCAAAAATGAACCAATTCCTTTGTGGAATTAAATTTAACTAGAAAAATCGTGGGAAGGTGCACAGCATAAAACAAATACAAGGAATCTAGTATGACGTTTGTAACAATGACGGTGCAAACAGAATTGGTATCATAACTATTAAAAGCCATGACAAACATTCCCTGAGCAATATCAATAATTTATAACAAAAATGCTCATTAACGAGGATGAGCTTCCAGCAAATATAAGATCCAGGGTTCCTTTGCAAATCATCAAAAGCAATATACACGTGCTAATAACACTGACAAATATTTAATCTTACTTGTTTCACATTCAACACATCCTTAACCCCTTAACGTTCAATCATATGTTTCTGATAAATAAACAAAAATGGCACGATGAAGAATTAACTTCAACACTAATCATCCATGCAAAATGGGTAAAAATGCAAATTCAAATAAAAGTGAGTGTTTTCGATCTTGATAGAATATTTAATGACGGTTTTACACATCTAAGAGATCCGCCGTCTTTTTTTCAGTCTATCCACTGATTTCGCGTGAACAAGTCCGCTAATTAAGTTATCAATATCCATCGTTTCATGGACAAACATAGATGTTCGCTTTTGTAGCTAAAAAGGCAAGATTATATGCATGGAGGCTCACGTTGTTTACATTGTAAGCCTTCTTAGTTTATTCATTCATCACCAATCGCTTCTGGCGAAGGAAAGGCTTGAAATTAGAAATCATTTCAAAGCCCGTTCTGGATATTTCCAAGTACTTTTTTTCAAGTTAATTTAATGACGTATGCATGGCCTTAATTCATTTGGGAAACCTCGGCAAACTAATTGCTGTTTCTAGGCAATGGATCCCGAAAATACTTTGTAGTAAACTGAAAATTGATGTTGACGTAAAAACCCACGATGGCTTTATGTACCGCTGTTTTAAAAAGGAATGCTAGCAAGAAATATGAAGAAAATGCTGAATGTGGTTGAACTTTTTGAATAGCGGTTTGTGTATTTGTTCAGTTGGCGATGACTCACGCACCCAAGGCTTTTTTCCCTTTTTAACAATCCATGTGATTTCACCACATCTCTTTCAAACCGGAAAAGTAATCCATTATCGCTAGATGAAAGAAGCTTTCGGGCACTCTGATATGCATTAGCAGGGTTTCTAACAGTTTCTGAAAGTGATAAACCACCGTGACAAACACAAAAAGGATACTACTTAAAAATGTCGACTTACACTGTACATCCATAGTAAACGATTCCACAGTAAACTGATTGTCTTGATTGAGGAGAGAAAAATCATAGACTCTACTGTCGCCCCTGTCAACTGCAAGGAACGTGATGGAAGCATTTGTTTCCGTTATATCTGCTGTCAATCGTCCAACGAAGGATAAAAGGATATTTATGGAGACTCCGCTAGTTTTCCTAACAATGAAAGGGAACCCTTGTGACTCAAACTCGGCTTCTTGAAATGCACTTCCTCCAGTGTTGTACGTCCATTGCAAAGTCACATTCCCACCCTCCACCACTTGCAATGGGCTCGAAGGTGTTGATGTAAAATTTGGAGCCTGCGATTCTAAAAGACAAACACAAAATACACGATATACATGTAGATCACTTGTTGACGCTCAATCTTCTATTTCTCGGTACGTTGTTTAACTATGTAGTAGTAAGCTACCATGAAGGAAACTCGAAACTAACCTCCTCCGCGTGCAAATAGAAATACGAAAAACAGCACAGAAATACGGCGCACGAGAAGAAACATAGCACTTTCCAATCGCTTGAAGCACACAACAACGATGTTAGACTACAGGGAAGTAAAATGTTGTATTGTTTGGTGTCTGCACCTTATATTTGCATCTAAAATTTGCATATGCAAATTGCAGTCATAAGGAAAAACGCGCGCGGAGAGGTTCAGGGGCGAAAAAACGTAATGAGCATGCGTGAACTTTTTTGCCCAGATCTAGCCTGCGAAAACATCCGTTTCTCCTCGCTCTTCGCCGATGGGGACGTTTCGCGTTTTCCTCCTCGCGAAACGTCCCCGGCGGCGAAGAGCGAGGAGAAACGGATCGCAGGCTAGCCCAGATCCCCTGGCCGGGCTTGAAAAAATGGCGGGATTTCAAATAGTTTATTGCCTAAGAGATAAAATGTTTCCACTCATAACCTGGAAAGAACAGGCAATTAAATTTGTCTTCAAAAGTTGGAAGCTGTGGTTATAACTTTGTCGTTACTTAATTTTCTCGAAGAATACCTCATAGTAAAACGGACTTTAACGACATTAATTTCCTTGCGTTGTACTGGAAATGTGCATGCGTAGGTCCGATTTTTTTCAAGATGCATTCACAAAATGTGTTCATATAAGGAAGTTCCTGGGTATATAAGGTCCGGAGCTCCACTGTGGACACAAAACAACATATCTTTGGACAGTGATTTGCCCAAAAAAATTAACGCTTGCCCACGATGTGTTTGAAGTCACTGAACTTTGTCGCGCTCGAGCTTACATTTTAAACCCCTCGATCGATCGGATACTCGTAGTTTCGCCGATAACTAAGATATAACCTGAGATCAGGCTCTATTTTCGTTTCGCTTTGAAAATTACATTCCGGCGGGCAAGGCGAAACGAAAAATATAAGCAAAATCCTCAATGTAGAAGTTATTGCGTTGATATGTGGGCAGAAAAAAGGCCAATCCTTATCATTAGTAAAATCTTCCCAAAAATCGGTTTCAAAGCAACTATAGTTTTTTAAAATTGCTCGTTTCGCGCAAATATATAAATTTTGCTTTGTGTTGTCGAGTTGAACACGCATAACATCTGTCAAAAACCTACGCGTAAGTAGGATTTCCTTCAAACAAAGTTAAAGTTATATTATTTCAAAAACTTCTTGCTGACAAAGAATAAATGAATTTTATGTGCGAAAACAACCTACCTAAAGATCTTAAAAGCAAAAGATCAGTTGCAACTTGGCAGCCAAGCCATGATTCACCATTTAGCTATTTTCAATAGGCTTAACTGGTCCATGCGAGGGTCTTCGTTTAAGCAAATTAAACTCAGCCGATCATGAATAGAGAAAATTGCACATAAGGGCTTGTTTTGCTCGCCTCAGTCAAATCAACCTGCAGCAATTGTTTACGGGAAAAGAGTCAATTGTTTTGAAGTCATTACCGGCAGTTATCGTTCTCTACTTCACAGCGAGTGAAAAGGACAATTTGCGTACAAAAAGTTATTCTTATAAAAAACAGAAGCTTTCACAGTGCACTGGAAAACTAAGCTATGTAATGAAAAATGAAAAAAACTCTGCTGACTATTATTACTTGAGAAACAGAAAAATGATCTTGAGTAAATATATAAGCTTACTGGCCTTCTATTTCCGAGAAAGTTTAATAAGCGCACAAGTTTGTTCACTCGGATGCGTTATTTGCCTAGTCCATTGGCCTCGTTATTATGCGCGGCCGATGCGCGGCCGATGCGTTTCGGATCATGTGGTCCGAGAAAGTTTTTGAGGGCGTCTCCCGGCCGTTCGTCTCGGATACGTCACCGAAATGCATTGACCGAGAGGGCCTGGAAAGACGCCGTACAGGGACTAGGCAATTGCGTTATAACAGCAATATGGTTCTTTGAGTGAAGACAAAGATAAAGCTGGTTCTGCAAAGGTAATAAATCTGGGCATGTAAGAAAAGTAACCGAAACTGCTAATCACGGAATGCAATCGGGTTTTAATTCAACCCGGCGAAATCAACTCACAAATTAATCGGATGCACAATTAGAAAAATACTCGCCTCTTAATGCTCAAAACCTTTTATTCCACCTCAGACTGACGGAATGATCCGTTTTCCCCTTAACATTGTTTTTCTGAATCCAAAGTAATTTTCAAGCGACGAAAAAAAAGCAAACATGTCAATGCAAATAAACTGAATGCTTTACAGGGAGCAAACGTTCGCACCTCGTGCATTTCACTCAGAACCAGCAACAAAAAAACGCAGTCAACACACAGAAAAGCCCGCCTTGAGCCTGCGATAAGGGATGCGCAGAAGCTGTGCTCTAAGACCAAAGAGGGCAGAACTTAGCTTAAACGCGGGGGCTCGGTATAAAAAGGTTCCCCCCCAGCTCAATCAAATTAATATTTAAGATTTGAAACATGTCGACGGTTGGCTTCGCGATGTGAGAATGCACTTTACTCCGATTCTTGTAAAAAATCAAAATATATCTTGTAGAAAATAAATATTAACTTACGAAACGTTGTTATAAAGTGTAATTTATGATTAAAATATCGAATGGCTAATCCGGTCTTGTGATATCGATCGTTGCTCGCAGTATAGTACGGCTTAGAGTCAATGAGCCTAAATCTTTACTGATTTTCGCTTGGTTCTTA